AAAGATTCAGGTTGCATCAACTCCTCATGCTTAACATTTCCCATTCCACCCTCATCGGACTTGTGTCCATTCTCCTTTCTGAAGATATCACTCTCAGAAACGGGAGAGAAGACTTTACCCCATCGTCCGTGAATGAAGTCATTAGCAGTGACCATCGAACTTCTCAAGTTCTCCTTGACCAACTGACCAGTAGGTTGACTGAAGATAACATCAATCTCCTCAAGCGTCTTGTTCTTAGTCTCAGGCATGAAAAGCACTTGGTAAAACCAACCGACTACGGCAATACCACCATAGAAACCCAATGTCAAACCAATATTCGACATGGCCTTTTGCATTTCAGCAAAGAAGTATGTAACGAGGAAGGAACAGAGGAAGAGCATGGTATCTGAAGTCTCCATTCCGTAAGAACGGAGGTAAGTAGGGTAGACTTCGGAAGGAATAACCCAAGTGAGACAGGCGTAAGAACCGAAGAAACCTTCGTAGAGAATAAGACCGGTGATGTATGTACCTTGGGAACCCGCTTTGTTGGTCAAAGGGATAAGGTATGAGCAACCAATAATAACAAGACCGATGAAGAACCCGGGAAGCATAGCAATAGCCCAGAAACGACGTCCGAATTTCTCCATGTAGAGAATAGCGGGGATGGTACCGATGAGAAGGGCTCCACCTCCCACAAGCGACATGAAAACAGCCTCCTTGTCGTTAAATCCAACTTGTTGCATAAGTGTGGCCATGTAGTATTGAATAGCGTTGATACCAGTGAATTGTCCCAAGAAAATCATGACGTTTGCGTAAATGATCGCACGACGGGCACGAGGAACAGTGATGAAGTCGAGCCATGCGAATCTCTTACGGGCACCTTCCATCTCACGCTCAGAATCGACAGAATGTTTCATGACGAAAAATTCCTTACGAGCAGCTTCATCTGTACCACGAATGCGACTCCAGACACCCCAAGCATCGGCAGTACGTCCCTTGTGCATGAGGAAACGGGGAGATTCGGGCATGAAGAGAATACCAACAAGCATGATTGTGGAGAAGACGAGGGAAGATCCCAACATGTATCTCCAACCACCAGATTTAACACCGACGAAAATAGCAGCGACGACATAACCGAGAACTTCTCCTAGCGCAATCATAAATTGGTACAGCGAGACCAAGTTTCCACGGTATTTGGGTGCGACAGATTCTGCGACGTAGACAGGAACAGTTCCACCTTCGAGACCAACACCGAGACCAAGGATAACACGTCCAGCCATCATCATGCCAAAGTTGACGGCACCAGCTTCGAGTGCTGCTCCGACCGTGTAGAGGAATAGAGACCATACGATAGCTTGTTTTCGTCCGACGGCTTCGTTCAAAGGTCCAAGCATCAATGCACCACCGACGGCACCTAATGGTACACCAGAACTGACCAAACTAACTTGTTTTGTATTGAGGCCAAGCGAAGCTGGCATGTATAGATTTGCCCCCGAGATTAAAGATTGATCGATACCGGAAAGAAGACCTCCCATGGAGGCAAAAGCGACTAATAACCTGCACAATAACAGTTAGACCTTTTCTTGAATCTCTTGCACAATAAATACATACCAAGTGTAATGTCTAGGGTCCTTGAACTTCAACTGGAATACGTCGGAACGAGATTTGCCTCGAGCTGTAACCTCTGCTTCCAAATCTTGTACTTCGTTATCAATGGTTTCCATGTCACCTGCTGCAGCGATTTGGAGAGCCTCCCACTCCGAGACCCTTCGGCCGATATGATTTGGACGAGCTTGAGCTGCACCCTTCTCGTTGCCGAAATCTGATACATTTTCTTCACTCATCTTAGCAGGTGTGTTGTAATGAGAAGAGCTGACGTCTTCATGATTGACGACCTCCTTTGTAGGGAGATCAGACATGATTGTGAATTATATTATGATGCGTTTCTAAATATCCCGTAGAAGAAGAAAGGGAGTTATGAGGGAACTGTCCACTCAGTAATAACTTTGAGGATACCTTTCCGAAAAAAACAGAAAGGCGCGAGAAGAAATTAGAGAGGTATGGAAAACGGGGACATGCAGAAGGAATGAGGGGAATGAGCGAAGATATATGATCTGAAAACCTGGGGCATCTCAATAGCCATCTTATCCCAAAGTTGCAACCGAACAACATTCCCTTTGAGGATTAAAGTTTCCAACTTGTCAGATGAGAGCTTACCTGTTACTTTTACCTATTAAGGAAAGGTGGCAGAAGGATGTCATGTTGACGTTGGGTTCTTTCCGCAATCTTAGGGTAGTGAGAGTCTGAAAGTTTGGAACGTATTACCAAAAACAGGAGCCAGACCGATTAAGCCACTTGGATCATAGGACTAGATTCATAAAATTGCTGGACAAAATTTTGCCCCTGGGGTCTCCGGTTCACACTAGATCTTGCAGAATCCCCTCGATTCTCCACAAGAAATTTGCATGACTTCCCCTCCCATGGAGTCTGTTGGGGTCTGGAGAGGCGGAGAGTGGAGATTTTCAAACTGGTGGGTTGGAAGAATTTCGGCAATACTTCATTGCACAACTTGTGCTTGAACCATTTTGATTGAACAGAGGTATTTACGCGGTTGATGGAAAAAGGGTAAACAAATTTGATGTCAGATTTCTAACCATGCAACCATGCCACTAGGGATGGGCGAATTATATAATTTGGGGATCGATTATATAATTTCATATTATCATGCTTTTTGAGGTATATAAAATATTATGCCAAGCTTATATACATATATTAATTGGACTAATAAAATCATTAGGATGAATGAAAGTGGATCATTTTTGGAAAAGTTTTTGATAGATTCTAATTTTCAATTTAGTGTATAATCAGATTTAAAAGTCAGATGCTAATTATGCGATTTCTATAACATGTTTTATCACCGAGTGAATTATATCACCAAATAGATCATTTGAAAATACACCAAAATTAGCAATTTTTAAATATTCTTATTTTAATAACTAATTATTATTTTCGAAAAGTAAAAGAATTTAAAATAATAATAAAAGTTTAATTTCTTAGAAATCTAGTTTTTATATAAATATTTCTATTATATTTAATAAAAAATTGAGAATATCATGATTTTTGTTACAAAAAAACTATTTCTATAATAATTCTTATATTAATTCGAATTTTAGAAAAAAAATTAGATTTTTATAATACCTTTATAATTAAGTTTTATATATCCAATTTTTAAAAAATTCTATCAATAAATAAAGAAAGTGTATAATTACGCATAAACGAATTTTGTATATAAATTGAATAATTCATTCAATGATATGATTGATTCGGTGATAAAACACGTTATTAATCTTTTATAATGTAATTAAATTTAAAGCTTTTTTTCAAAATATTTATATAAATAAAAAGCATACAACTCCTACCTTAATAGTATCAAGTTTTTATGAAAAAACTTTTTAATACTTAAAAGGGGTATAAATTAATAAAATTTATATTAAAAGTAGTAATCATTAGTTTATTAAAGTTAAAAAAAATCTTTAAAATCCCCATTTTCTATACTAAAAATAATGCAATTTCACTAATATTATATGTTATATTTGACTGACCAATATACGATATTATATATCATCAAATCGCCCAACCCTACATGCCACGCATGCGTAGAGCCCTCGACTGGCGTCTGGCGGTTCACCGGTAGTTCATCTTTTTTCGTTGTTCTGATTGGAGAAAAAGACGAGAAAGTACGAAACTAATTGGGATACGTCGCATAAGTGTTCATCCCTTGTAAATCATTAGTAACATGATTCGTTAGTCGCTCAAATTCTCGCACTAAATTGAAGATAGATTCATTAATCGGATGCATGATATCCTAGTACAGCATCCACAAAAACGCCGAAGATAATTGTTGATTGCACGGACTTTATCCAAGTAGCTCTGTTGTCGAAAATCTTCTCCGGATAGGACGAGAAAAGTTTTTATAAAGACTGACACCCATGCAATGATTGTTTTGTTGAAATGTTCGGGATTTCCGTTGCTCTGGTAGACTTTTCAAATAGCTAAGTGGCGATAGAACTGTCTAGTACAATTAGTCGTACATCACAGAGATGAGCAAACACAGAAATCATGTTGGAAAACAAGAATCCCATATCAGTCGTCGTCTTTGCATAACATAACCACAACATCCCAGCGGGTGGATTTCGGCTTAGAGTAACCATGCTCACTCTAAAATGCTTAGATCAACCACTTTTTTCAGTGAAAGCTTATTGAACCAAGCTTCCTTGTCCCGCACTTGGTATGGTCTTGTTGTTTTGCTTGTAACGAGTCAAGCACATGTCCAAAGTCTTGAGACTAGACAAGCCGTTAAAAGCTTTTCGGATGGCTTACTCAAGCTTTCACGTCTGATTCGGAGGCGTCTTTCCGGAAAATAAATATTAGTCCTACAAACCCAGATCAATCAATTGTTCTTGGTGTCTTCCAAAAAGTCAATTTTATTAGGTATGCATTCCTGGAATAAATTCTAGCAATTGCAGGTATTGCTTCGTTACTCTCAAATTCCTAATGGCCAGAGGAAGCTAATCTATCCTGGCATCAAACCAAACTGGAAAATTCCTACTACCCACAAAGAGGCCGAATCTAACATCTTTGGATCCATAAAACCCGAACCACGCTCAAATCGTTGTTGATTGTATTCCCTGAACGTCCCAACTTATCTTCTTGCATCTGTCAAGGCGTTAATCGTATTCGAGTCAGAAGATCATGATTCCGCAACTCCACATGCTGGATCACCCCTGATATCCAGTTTTCAAGAGCGAAAGTTTGTCTTCCACGCGACAACCTAGCCCATAAGAGTGAAACAATGCAGCTGCCCCAATACTCCAGTCTCCAGTCCCCAACCTCCAGAACTTTTGAGTTGTGGAACCAACAATCGAATGTTCGCGGGGATGCTCTCGGTCCGATTATACAGTTCAAAGAACGACAGCTATATGAAAGTTACCAGCGTCGATATGAAAATCAGGTAAATGAGCTCAGTCAGAGTCTGACTCTATGGAAGTTCTTTGTTGCTCTGATTTCTTCATATCTGCGACATACTCAATAACAAATGTGAATCCAGCCCATACAATTCCCGTTGCGATGAATTGGAAAGCCCATGAAGAGATCAAATGCTTCAAGCTAGGCATCTGGAAACCTATTTCGTAGAAGTTGTCCAGACTGATACCAACTTTAGTTCCATATGCTCTACCGACAAATCGCAGCATTATGGCCTCAAGTGGCGTTATAAGAATGGAAGCGGCCAATTCTCTAAATCCTTCTGCGGCAAGTATTGTTGGAAGCATGGTAAGTCCAGTCTTGCGATATTTGACAACTTTAGGTTCTCCTGGAACATTTGTACTTCGTAGCTCAGCCGACCATGCCCCTTGACCAACCGTCGGTTCGGCTGATGTGGATGTAGAATCAACGTCAAAGCTGATCAGTGTCGGTCGCGGGTCTTCATCCTCACCAGGATCAACACTTACTGAGGCATTAGTATGGCGCCGAGGTCGAGGTGTTGTTCTATCCAACGCCGGCAAACCTTCAAGAGCTCGTAAAGTATCTTCCTCTCCGCCTCGAACTGGGCGATTCTCTTCGGGATCGTCCGGGGTGTCAAATTCCAATATTGGTGCTTCGACTCCAAATCCAGCAAACATACTATCTCCTTTTGGTCGAGGTAGAGATTTGAATATAGGTCGATACAAGAGTCGCGAAACAATATATTTGAACTTTCCATGAAATAATACTGCCACAATTGGGGTTGTGGAACGAAGCAAAGCTAATGTCCATGAAACAATTGAACCTATGTTTCTTGAAGGTGGAGGTGGTGCTTGAAGTAGTGATGCTTTTGAGAATGGAATTAATGACATCAATGGAGGTAGGAATTGGTTATATTCGACCAATCCAAACTGATGCAACATAGCAAACATCCGTAAGTGTAATGTGATATAACTAAAGCTTAAGTTGAGACTACGAATCATCAGTTGCGTCAGTATTTATGTGTTTGTGTAAGATACTCACCATTTGTCGGCAATGAACTTGACCCATACTTCTCGAGAGGTAAGTCTTCTTTCATCTTCATCAAACATTTGATCTAGAATAACTTCCAAGAAGCAGCCCGCCCAGTCTGATACATGATATGCTATGACCGTGGGGAGCCCGGAAAAAAATAGGTTTGCGACAGATCTCCTAGTTCTCTCGTGCTGGATCAACGCTAGGACTCCAATTTCAGAATATGATCTGTAGAGCTTCGACGTGTAAGCATGATACTGTATTCAGTTGATGAATCAACGTACCAAAACTCTTCGCCTGAACCCAATAGCACCCCAGACACCAGCATGTAGTGTAGCACGGCCAGCTTCCAATATCCTTAGTCCTTTAATTGTCTCTTCGATTTTCTTCGTGTTATGTAATATTGCAGCTTCTCTCACAGCAGTCAAATCTTCAACAATACCCGTGACTTGCATCACTTCATTAGCTGCACGAATGTTTTCACGTTCTCTCCGTTTGGTCTCTGGATTTCTTGGATGCCCATGTTCATCATATATCTGTGTGTAGCCAGCATTCTCAGAAATATCTGGTGGAGTTGGCCAGATTACTTGTTCTTCATATCGTGTTCGACCCTAGAATCTGTGAGTATGAAGCTTCATGGGTGTATCGATTTGGTGTCAAGTGTTTTGACAAATTCAAGATTTCCAACAGCTACAACAAATTTGATGTATGGGAAAAGACTTGGCCGCCTGCAACTAATAAGGAAAAGGCAACAACGTACCAATGCCCAAGCAGTCAATGATTCTAGCCTGCCCATGGTTGCAGACGGTAGATGCTCTAAATTTTGCACCAACGCATTGTATACCTACTGTGATGGTTATAAGTAGCTAATTCTGTATCATACAGTCATGGTCTGATGAGTTCGATGAGATTATCAAGTGTTTTACTCTTCTCTTCAAAGAAAGGGCTATGATCGCAAATAAGAAGGAATACACGTCTGCACGTGATATTGGACGCTAAGATTGAGCTTATCGTAGACCCCTGTCCGCATCAAAATATTTTTGATTCAAGTGAAAATAAAAATACTTTGGTTATCAACGTTTTCACCTCCAATTGATTCTAGGAGCGCCAGGCGTTATAATAAAGTCAGGTATTATAACAAAATCGCACGCTGTAAGAAAGCCAAATATTATAATAAAGCCATACATTGGGATACCAAGCTTGTGGCGCATCATGGCAACCAAGGCTCCTTACCAAACGACATTCGAACCTGAGCATACTATACAGCCAATTTACACAGGAGGAAGTGTTGCACTTGACCAAACGGGTCGCATACTTGCTACAACACTCGGGGAGGATGCATTATTGACAGATTTGAATACAGGGAGGGAATTGGCCAGGATAGAAGGAGATGGAGAGGTCATCTCTACATTAAGTCTCACGCCGTCTGCTTCCCATCTCATCATATGTTCGAGATCATTGTCTATGCGAATCTACGCCCTACGGCCTTCACCTGCATCTGAAGTTTCTCTCCACTACGAACTTCTGCGAACGCTTAAACCGCATTCTACGCCAGTAGTAGTCTTAGCTGTAGACCAGACAAGTACTCTGCTAGCAACCGGAGCTGCAGATGGAGTAGTAAAAGTTTGGGATATTGCCGGAGGTTACGTCACACATACATTTCGAGGTCCCAATGTACTTATATCCGCTTTACACTTTTTCGAATTGGTTGCGAGCGGTAGGGATGAGGAATCGGGCATTTCAGCGAGAAACCGAAAGAACGGAAGCCGAAAGAGTCAAGCAGATGATGACAACAATGAGAGTGAAGCAGCGAGAGGCTTTCGTCTTGCATCTGGTAGTCAAGATGGTAAAGTCCGTATTTGGGATCTTTACAAGAGGAATTGTGCCTCGGTTTTAGATTCACACGTATCGGATGTTCGAGCTTTAGATTATTCACCAGAAGAAAATGCGCTTCTTACTGGAAGTCGGGATAAGACAATAATGTGGTGGGACGCGAAGACGTGGAAGATTAGAAAAGTTATACCCGTGCTTGAGGAAGTGGAAACTGCCGGATTTATCGAGGCCGGGAAGTTCACATATACTGGAGGATCAAATGGAACCATTAGAGTTTGGCAAACGGAAAATGGTAGGGAGGTCACAAAACCACAAAAAAGTGGTGCAGAGGCAGATGCCATTGTGGATGCGCTCTCATACCACGACCTTCCTTTCATTCTGTCAATCCAAGCAGATCATACCTTGATCCTTCACTCGAAAGCTCCCATGGAAAACGCGGATTCCACTATCACCATTCCGGCTCTACCCCAAGTCCAGCGAATCTCTGGAACTCATGACGAGATCATCGATTTGGGATTTCTTTTACCTGATAAATCCCTCCTTGCTTTAGCTACCAATTCGGAGGAGATTCGTATCGTCTCCTTGAATCAAGGTTCAGAAAACGACTCTAAAAAATCAGCCGCATATTTTGGTGCCGATGTCGCTCAACTTAAGGGACATGAAGACATCATCATCTGTTTAGATATTGACTGGTCAGGCCACTGGATTGCCACTGGCGCTAAAGATAACACTGCTAGACTTTGGCGTATCGATGCTGAAAACGCTTCATATACTTGTCATACAACTTTTACTGGGCATGCCGAATCTCTTGGTGCCATTGCACTTCCTCATACTCCGCCACCTGAATCCTCACCGGCCTACAAGTCACCTTTGGATCATCCACCCAGCTTTTTGTTGACCGGTTCTCAAGACCAGACTATTAAGCGGTGGGATATTCAAGCTCAGACAGCGACTGGCAAAGCACCAAGAGCTTCATTAACCAAGAAAGCCCACGACAAAGATATCAACGCATTAGACATTAACCACAACTCTGAATTAGTTGCATCAGCGTCTCAAGACAAAACTGTCAAAATTTGGTCCACCAAAGAATTAGAAGTACAAGGTGTATTACGTGGTCATCGTCGTGGTGTTTGGTCTGTGAAGTTTGCGCCAAAAGATACCCCAACTCTTCAAGGAGAGTCTGGTCCAGCTTCAGGAAAAGGTTTAATTCTTACTGGAAGTGGAGACAAAACTGTCAAGATATGGAATCTTTCCGACTACAGCTGCTTACGAACATTTGAAGGGCATACTAATTCTGTTCTCAAAGTGGCATGGTTGAAATTGCCAGCACCAGAAGATAGAAATAGGAAACATGTTCAAATAGCTACAGCCGGTGGAGACGGTCTTGTCAAAGTCTGGAGTGCAACAAACGGAGAATCAGAATGCACATTAGATAACCACGAAGATAGAGTTTGGGCTCTCACTGTCCACCCTAAAACAAACATGATAGTATCAGGAAGTGGGGATTCCACTGTCACATTCTGGAAGGACACAACCTCAGCAACAATAGCTGCTAGGGAAGCGGCCAATACTCAATTTGTGGAACAAGAGCAGGAGTTACAAAACTTCATACATGCTGGTAGCTACAGGGAAGCCATCATTCTTGCACTTACACTCAATCACCCCGCACGATTACTTTCCATATTCACAACCGTCGTTACCGGTACTCACGAAGAAGGAAGCATCTCAGGTCTCAAAACTGTTGATACTGTCCTAGCCTCCTTAACAGATGCTCAAATCTTCAACTTACTTCTCAGAGTCCGTGATTGGAACACCAACGCTAGAACGGCATCTGTCGCACAAAGAATTCTACATGTTCTCGTCAAAAGTTATCCCGCTTCTCGCTTATCGAATCTCAAGATTAAGGGGGCACAAGGACAAAAGAGTTTGAAGGAGGTCATTGATGCTTTGAAAGTTTATACGGATAGACATTACAAGAGAATGGAAGAATTGCTTGACGAGAGTTACCTTTTAGAATACACGCTGCGGGAAATGGATGGTCTTGGATTCATTGAGAATGGAGCCATGGATGCTGCTGGAGATACAGTTATGGTGTAATTTTGTTTGTAATGAGGTATTAGATGGTCAAAATTAGTAGAATAAAATTTGAGAGGTCTCAATATGCAATCAATTTACTTCAAAATTTAAACAGCTTTCGGTATCTGAAATGTAGGGAAAGTTTGGTGACCGTTGAGTTATGGGGGAGCTTCCGATCTCTGATGAATCTAGCATTTCAGATGGATTTAAGCTCCTGAACATATCCAGTAATCATAAATTGTCCATTATCGATCAGACACTGCATCAAACTTCATTCGATAAAGTTCTAGCTCCATCTCAAGCTCCGGACCGCAGCAGCTTGGGGTATCTGATCGTTCGGATTGCAGTTTAACAATATAAGGTCTTGAATGTTTGAAATTACTTCAATATTCCAATCACATTCGATATCTCAGTGTATCTAATAATCCAACTTGTGATTCAACAATACGAAGGTCTGAATGCCTAAAGTAGTTAGAAAGTTGAAAATAGTTTAAGCTTCCAATCACATTCATTAATTCAGATGATCTGAATGTTCTAGTAAATTTGAGGACTTCATAATCTCTATTGTTGAACTGCAATTCGGACTACTATACACCTTGAAATATGTGACCGCTCCTGACTCGATATCTTGAATCTTAACCACATCATTCCCATGCCCAAAAATTCGAAACCTGACCACACTCCCTCTATAAACTCTACTTTCCCAGCGTACATGCCACGCCACTATCGCATCTATCTCGGAATATCACCCTCCCGATACTCGGCACAAAATATCGTATACTCTTCTTCGGAAAATCGACCGTGTAGATACAGAGCATAAGCCAGATCACCTCTTGTCTTAAGAGAAACTTGTTTGTATTCCAGGAGCTCGGCATCGAATCTCGTATCACCTCCTGAAGCCTCCTAGGATATATGTTAGTTGAGTAAGATGGGACTGGGGGAGTTGGGATATTAACACTTACTATTGAGGTGGTAGATTTGGTAGGAGGAGGTAAGAAGACAGGCTTCGCTTTTACAGGAGCAGCTTCTAATTCGGCTATGAAGCTGGGTTCAGCAGCAGGTATGGCGGCGACGGGAACTATTGTAGGAGTGACATGCAATTCATGTGCGTATGCAGGCGGAGGTGAAGTCGGGGTAGATAGAATGACTTGCTGAGATGGAAGTAGTTGTCATGGTACAGGATTTTGCTTTGGCGCGGTGACTTGCTTGACAGGAGCAGCCGATTTGTCTACGGAGGTGTCGAAGAATTCTAGGCAAAACTTGGCGTATGTTTCGGCTGAAAGTCTGTTTCTTTTGAATAGAGCCAGGGCAAGATCATCAATATTCTTGTGAAGACAAATTTGTTTGTATTCGCATAGTTCAGTATCGAGGTGTGTAGTGTTGCGCTATGAATTGAGATCAAGTTAGCCGAATGATAAATACGATGGCAAGTTTATTTGTTTCAAAGCTGAAGAGAACTGAAGGGAAGACACTTACCACTTTCTTGATTATGTACTTTGGATCATTTTCCAGACTTTCTATTAACATGCTTGCTGCATATATGACCGGAAAATACTTCTTTTCGAACTCTAATGGCATCAAGTTGACTGCACCGAATGATCGTCAGTTGAGTAAAGGAACCCACGTCGAAGTGTAACTTACAAAAACCCATCATCATCTTACGAGTAATCATGGAGTTCTCTTTGGGATGTAATTCAATGAGCTTTCTGTGAGCAGCGTTGACGCGTTGCTCCGTGATGATGTCTCCTTTGTAGTCTTTTCGCCCAACCACCCAATTTTCAAAGGCTTTGAGAGTGAACATTTTGGAGGAGAAGGACAACTCGATACGAAGTTGTTACTGGGCAGTGATCGAGCTTAAGAGACCAGTGTGAAGTCTAATGATGTGCCGTATCTCAGTCTCTTGTTGTTGTCCTACAAAAGATCAAGTTCAGGTTGAGGCATAGTAGACTCAACAATTTTCCCAAGTCTTATTACAACATAACAGTTCAAGTGAATTCTCGGGAGCGCTTTCAAGCTTTTCAAGCTTTTCACAGATAACAATTCTAAGTGAGGGGTTCTCATGACTCTAAGTGAATTGGGTAGGGAGATTTTGGTAGGAATGACATATGCCAGCCAATAATTTCTGATACTTGACAGAGGCACAGAGGATTTTCGGTAACCACTCCTGACTCCACTTTAACGAATTCACTCACAACTCACTTCCTATATACATTACACTTCAATCCGAAAGAAGCTAAGAAACTCGGTAGCCTTGCCGCCTTTCAATTGAAATTTTCTTTTCCTTTTTAAAGCTCGCACTTTTGAATATTCTCGTTTTCAAACCATCAACAATCAACAACAATCAACAACAACAACAACCACCGCTGCCACCACCACCAAGAAATCATCATTCAAACACACTTTCACATCAATCTCTCTTTATACAATCAAATTCATCATCAAAAGCAATAATTTGCAACATTAATTATGATTACATTAGATGTTGCCGCTGCCTCAGCAGCATTTGAAGCAAAAGTCATCACCCACTTGCGTGACGAAATCGCAAAGGCTATGGCGAGTGCAAATAGTGATATTAATGCACAATCGGAGAAATTTAGCAAGTTATTTAATGCACGTTGTAAGTATTCATTTTTCTTTCATCATCTGTCATCATATTTCACCATCTTCCACCATCCTTCATCATCTTTGCATCGCTTTAAAGGAACTATTCATGACAACTAACATATTTTTGCAGGGCCTGCTGAGAATCCAGATGAATTCTTACAGCAATTTGTCAAACTCAGCTTTGGCAAAGCTCCAAGCAATGTTTCGCAAGATAAGGGCAAGGGAAAGGCGACTGATGAAGCAGTTGCTTCACCTGGCATAGCAAATGATGAACATGTTACTCTGCGGTCAATGCAATAGGCAAATGACACCATCAAGACCGAAGATCAAGATGTCATTGCTAGCGGATCGCCGCACTCCTCTCTCTCACCAAGTATGTCATTTATGTCTAAAAATTCTTGGAAGGAACATGCCGAAGAGCTGAAACAAATGTTAGCCAATCGCGCCGCCAAAGAAGCAAGCCTGCACCTGCAATCGAGCGCCGCAATTTCAGAACCGCGTCGACAAACTGAAAGCCGACCAGTACCAGGATTGTATCTCCTAGCAATTCCACGCCAGCAATTGGAACAGCAACCAATTTTCGCAATTTTGTACCGTGCCGCAAACTCCAAGCAAATTGATGCCTATAATGTGCCATCATATGGTCGCACATTAAAGCAAAATAATGCCTTGCCCCACTGCGGAGGCAGTGGAACCACCAAGCCAATTGGCGAGCAAAAGAGCGTAAACTACATGGTAGATATGCGCCCTCAACTGCAACTTAAGTTTTGTTTTTTTGCAATTGAAGCGTGTGGATCTCCCCAAGGCATGCATTTTGTGGCCTCAACCATATGAGGGAGTAGATACACGCAACTTTAAGGCACTTAAGGAGTTCGCACATGTTGAGCAATTTTTAGACAGGCTGAAAGATCAAATCCTTCCCGCACACCTCAACATCCGCGATGCGTACATCGACTTCACAAAGACTCGTGCACATGTTGATGGTGGCAACAATAAAGTAAATAATGGAGCAATGAGAGATATGGGCGCAAGACAAAATACGTCTGCGGGTCCATCCAGAGCAAAGAATAACGAGAAACGCTCGTGGGACGATCGCAATGAGAAAGAGAGATCTTATCCGGATAGGAAGAAGAGGAGCTATTGAGGGGATAATGTAAGGATAAGTGGGGTTGAATTGGATAGCGAAGGGGTTTAATACAGCAAAGGAGTGCAAAATAAGAAATGATACACAGCAAAGAAAAAAGAAGATGTTAGGGGAGAGGGGAAAAGTAGTGCAAGGATACTATATAGACAGGCTCATCAAAAAGCAAAGTTACTTATTAGCAATAATTCTACAACAAAATAAGAAGCTTGAAATGAAACACTTGTACATACATATCCGTTGCCTCATTGAAAAATATCCCGTGAAATTGAATTATTATGACTTGATCTTATTCCCATCCGCTTTCACTGCCCCAATACCAGACAATTTTGTATCATCTTGAACCTACTATAGAAATCCCACTCCATATGTTAAATGAATGGAATTCAAAGAGGGTCTAGAGCCGCGGTGCTGAAGGCGAAATGATGCTGGTTTCATCATAAGTTTCATGGCGCGCAGAACTGAACAAACACACTCTTTTCCTCAACTTCTATAAGTGTGTTATCGTATGCCTGTAGGATTTCCGCAGAACGATCATTCAGAAAAATGGGATGTTGGCTTGCGGGACGTGTCAAAATTGCTGTGATCATGAATCACGTGATTCAGCCACGAGCATTGACGACCATGTTGCCATTTTTCATTCATTGAGGGGACAGACGATTATTACGGCACCATAATCGAATTAGTCAATTCTATCCTCAAATACCTGCATCAATCGGTGGGGTTACGCCTAGTTCATCATTTCCTATGAAAAAGATGATTCTCCAGGTCTCTGAGGAAGCCTTATCTGTTGAGTTTGATACAAGCGTTCATGATCTCAAAGATGCTCTCAATCATATGACTGCAGTTCGTAGCACCCAATATCGTTACATTTATCTTTCAAGAGAATGCTAAATACCATAATTGTTTTTAAAGTCTTAGTGGCCTATTTATTCTACCTCTATTGCAAATGATTCAACATAATCCGCAAAGAAATCATTCACATAACATTCCTGTATTGTTGCCTTCGCCATTGAGCTTCCACATCATCTAATCTTCTAAAAATCTCACCCCTTCGATCCATTGATCTTCTACCCCCAGTGAAACTATTGACCGATTCTTTCCTCCTCATCGATCCGCTACTAGAATCATCTCTATACCAAGACTTTCCATTATTAAGAGCAAGTACTTCTTCTTCTCTTTCTTGAGCATGTTGTGCAACATCAAGTTCAGGATTCTGTGTTGGATCATTATCTGGATCTCCATCTTGTCCAGGATTCGCCATTTCGTACTCCATCAGCTTGATCAATCTGAAGAAAAGTACTGCCAACCCCGCGCCGAGAAGTGGTCCAACCCAGTAGATCCAATGTTCTCTTGGAAAGTTCCAGACAATGGCCGACGGGCCAAAACTACGAGCTGGATTCAAAGATGCTCCAGTAAATGGAACAGCTACCATGTGAGCAACAAAAAGGGCCAGCCCGATTCCGATAGGCGCAACAAAAGTAGCTTTGTGTTTCTCAACAGCTAACATTATGATGGTAAAGATCAAAGCTGCTGTAGTGATGGCTTCGATGACGAATCCTTGAGCCATAGAAGTACCACTTCCAAGTGTGGTGGCAACTTCAAGTTGCTTTGGAAAAATCTCTTGCACGAGAATAGCAGCTAAACACGAAGCACCAAGTTGTGTAATGACGAGCAGAACGGCACGAATTGGTGAGACTGCTTTGAGTATGGCAAGTGCTAGCGTTACCTATCATTGTTAACTTTAGAATTAATCAATTGTCATGTTACACTTACGGCTGGATTGAACAACCCTCCACTGATACGAAAGAATATCCAAGCAGTAACCATGAGACTGGCTCCGAAAGTTGCGGATATATAAAATAAGACTTCAAGATCTGGTGGCTCACGCCCTTGAAGTTTCGCAACTTCAATACCCGCGTAGCCAAAGAACAGAAAAAGTGTTGTTCCAATCAACTCTCCAATTACAGCGACAATATCTACTACAGTTAGTGAAAAGTGCCAAATATAACTGTGAAATCACTTACGATTCTTCCAATCACTATTCATCCACTTCATCCATTTCGTTGCCGGTCTTCTTTTTTTGTATCTTTGAATTCTATCCTGTGTCTGCAAATTTTGCATCCATGGTCGACTCCTACTAGCCCTCTTGTTTTGTGCCATGTTATCTCCATTGGTTAAACTGATAAACCCATCCTCACTCGTTCTGTACGGTTGTAATTCAGGGTATATTTCATCGACCTTTGGATAATGCCTTTGGATATCGTGTGATTGCTTAGGAAATTCGAAGTCTTGCATCGGAATTGGCGCAGGAGCGTTTCGTTGTACCACTCTTCTTGGTGGTGGAAAACTACGATATCGACTGTCATCTAGACGGATTTGAATTTCGTCATCTTGAGCTGACAGAGGACTTGCTCGTAATGGTTGGGGATGATCGCTCATCAGCGGGCTTCTCATAGTCATTATGTTTATATCGAAATATTATAAGTATTATATGTCAGGAAGATGACCTTTGAATGGGAGATTGGAACACGTTATATGACTTTCGGACATTGATATAGTTTCCGGGTGTGTCACTTTTCTCCGTTCCCTTTCTGCGGCATAAGCATTGTCCACTCCATCTTCAAAGCTTGAAAGTTTCTTTTTCCCTATGTGAATCTTCCTTCTTGGCACATCTAGCTAGGTACATCTCGGCTTTTGAAAGTCCAGGTTTCACCAATCGAAGACTTCTCAACGTCGAGTAAGGAAAGTTCATGCAAAGGCCATGCCATAAGGTACTTCCCTTAAGAAGTATTTACGCAAAACGTAAATGACGATGATGTCTGGAGAATTGGAAAGGCTTTTGCGGGGTCGAGGGATTTTCGGCAACGATGGGTGTTTGAGAGAGACGCTAAGCGGGACGAGAGAATCTGATACAAGAATGACGAGATGTCGCACAGACATCCGGAGCAAAATCTCAATTGTATTCTTCAAGCATGGAAATCTCAATTGCGGTTCTCCATCGGGTGCTGTTGTATGGGAATGCCTTAATCATGTAAGCTGCTCGTCGTATAAGAAGTATAATTCATTTAAGTTATCATGGGAATATTTCAAAGAGGGATGAAAGTTCACATGTGCCATAAGCATGAAACAATCAGCTAAGCTTTCCTAATTTACATACGCTTATTTTACGAACCGCTGCCACTAATGCACAGGCAATGATTTCTTGTGGGTGGACGTCATTGTCTGTGCGGAAGCTGGGAGATCGACTGATTTGAAACATCGTTTGATCGTTCCGAGGAGACGATTAGATATTTAGATTACTGACGTTGTGTTATTTTAGATCAAAAATTCACAGCATATCGGCACATCGAGAATTTTCTAATAATAGCCGTTGTTTACCGGCAACGGGTGTGTTTGGCTAAAAGGGAAAAAAATGGAGTAGTAGCATTAAGTCTAGATTCCCACCCAGATGATTTGATTGTTGGGCAGGGTATGTGAGTACCGATCAAATATTGCGGTGATAGATCATTCACAAAAAGATGCGCAATGACAATTCTAGCTCAACAAATTATAATTACTTCTAAATCATATAACATCCATTTCTCTCATCTACCAACTCCCCAACAGCCCCATCTACCCCATCTAACTCATCACTACATTAACCTCTCCCAAAGCTCATCATACTACCAAATCCTTCTCCTTCTCACACTACCAATCCATCCACCCCAACAACTATCTCTCCATCATCTCTACTCTTCCCTTCCCCTTCCCCTCTCAAACCCCTCTAAATCCAAACTGGAAACAACAAAACCCTCGCACAACTACTGGGCACATCATACGGATTTGGCGCATCAAAATACTTAATCATCTGAAAAAGTTGCGGCGCATTCAACCCATGAAACCACTCACAAACCACCCATCCATCCGCCTCTTCTTCATCAACCTGAAAGCCCGCACTCCCCTCATTGACAAACTTTCCACTTCCATATCCTGAGGTAATCGTCACCGGTTCCCATCGTGCATAATTGGTGTCGGAGGGAAAAGCATTCATGCTGAATGGATACGGGGAGACGTCGAATTGGAGTTGGGAGGAATTGAAATACATGCGGGAACCGGTGTTATTGGAGGAGTCGACGAAGACGGGGTCGGCCATTCCGGCGCCGGTGTGCCAGGCTTCTACTTGGGGGGTGTTAGTTGTGTGTGAAGAAAAAGGAAGACGAGAGGAATAGTGATGGGGATGAGGATTTAATGAAGAGAGAAAGAAAAAAATGAGAAAAATTACTCACAAACCCATCCATTATGCGTATAATCACCATCCGTAACCGTCATATGCAGATAAAACTCCCGAGTATTGTTCAAAGTACCCGGAACCCAGGAATCCTGTCTGGACTCAATCGTTGGAGCGGCGGAGACGAAAGCGAGAACGCTCGATGCCGCGAGGGCGAGATTGCGGATTGAAACCATGATGCTTGTTTGTTTATTTGTTTTCTTTGACTTTGTCTAGGAATCTAATGTGTGTATGCGAGTTAAATCAAAGCGAAGCTGGTAAGAACGAAGATGAAGATGATGATGAAAATAAAATTCACTTCCACACCATCCATCAGAGCCTTTATACAACAAATCCTCAGTCAATATTTCCCGCCACTATTCCATACAATTCTTCCTTGCACTCCATACACGTACACATCCTCCCTACCTCTCCAACGTCACAGTACTTCACTCGTGTATGTATGTGCAAGTGTGACCGTCACCATTACGAGCTTCTATTTCCATCCCCGGTGAAAGCGCCATGCTATCTACCCATCACCACCTTCGTATCCCGAATCTCCACCCCGAGATCGACCGAGCAATGCAGAAAAGCCGACTAGGTATTTTAACCTTACCCTTTAAGCTTATGTACCTCCCTGTGTACCTCCCTGTGTACCCATCCAACCTTTCCACCAAAATCGCTAGAACATGCTTCTTTCGACCCCGCATCGTACAGAACCAGAACCGGGGTATTGTAATAGTTGCACATCCTGTCATCGTATCGTACCAACACCAAGCGATTCGAAAACACGAAAAGTAACTAGATACATGCCACCATTTCGTATCGTGAAGATTGTTAATTCTCCGTGTGGCATATCCTGGTTTATTGAATATTTATTTGTTTGTTTATTCATCATGGTAATAATTACTAACAGCCATTCAACAAAAGGCTTTTGGGTGACGGTGACGGCAAACGGGATCTCCGCCTCGTATCGGATTACGTGAGGGGGATCTGCAGATGTGCAGATATGCATGTATGCACGCAGGTATGTAAGCTTCGTGTTTGGAGACTTGGGAACATCAGATGATGGAGATGTGGGAAAATGTACTTGTACATTCTGGAGTGATGTTATGAGGTAAGGTTGATTTCGCTGTTGGGTTGGGTTGGGCTGGGAGGGAATGTATGATGGGTAACGGGCGATGGGTACGATGTGTATTGTGTTGTACGAGGTGACATCGTATGATGAGGTTAACGGTCGGGGAATACGATGTACACTTTTGATGGGCTGTGGCGGCTTGCACTGCAACGATGGATAGAGAGAAGTACATTGCTTGTAGAATGAAAGGATATGAGTATTTCTGCAAATTTCTCCTTTCAAAGGTATCCTAAATATTTTACAATCAAATCCAAAATCCAAAATATCTCTTCAGGAACCCGCTTTCATGTGGAGGATCATCTAGTAATAAGTACCATTTATAGCATTCGTCGCGAACACAAACATGGCAGCTACAAATTCTCCGATTCAAATCTTCGTTCCCTTCCCTCCATCTATCCTTTCCAATCTCCAAACCCCTCGAATTGATTTCCCACCAAATATCACAACTTCGTCTTTAAACCAAATTCCCCCTCAACTAACTCCAATATCTTCCTCGCAGCATCTCTTCGACCGCCATACTTTTTACTAACCAACTCTCCCATTTCCTTTGCTTTCTGTTTAATAGATTTATCCTCCGTAACCTTAATCAAGGCATTTCCCAATTCCTCTCCCTCAACACCAGGTGCGCAGCCCTTACTTCCCCAAACACCAATACCGAAAAACTCCACTTTCTCCGTGTAATCATAAGTATCAAACCAACACGGTAATAGCAATTGCGGAGTTCCAGTCTCAACACTCTCGTAATATGAATTTGCGCCGCCGTGATGAACAGACGCGATGATGTGACCTGAGCGAAGGATAGATATTGGTTCTGCTTTGAGCCAGGGTACCAGCTTTACTTGCGAGACAATTGGTGCAAGAATTTCGGCAATGACGGGATCGGGTCCTGGTGTTGTGGGCTTGAGCTTCCAGAGGACTTGGATGGAGGGGTCTCTAGAGAGGAGAATACGGATCCCGGTGGCAATGTTGCGGTTGAATTCTTTGCTTCCGTAAACGTGTGATCCGAGATTGATAAGGATGGTAGGTTTTTTCTCTAACCACTCTAAGAGTTCTGGATCGGTTTGAGAGAGTGAATAGGAGGGTATGGTGAGGGGTCCACAGGTCGTTACATTCTCGGGAATGTGTGGGAGTTTGAGATCAAATTCTCGTCCTGTAGGAAGCAAATAATGAACATCTTTCGAGTATGGAACAAAGAATGGATATTGGCCGGGGATGTTTGCCTTTTTGCGTCCAGCTTCGATAGCTTTGATATTTGGAGATGTGACGACAATGATAATGAGACGAATCATGAGGATTATGTTCAATGGAATTAGATACCATGGAAGTGGAAAGTTGTAGCCAGAACAATCACTAATCGAAACTGTTAGATGGTAAATTTCGAAGGAAGAAGGATAAACTTACGCAGCTATACCCCATAGTGCAAACCCATTCGGTTGAGCTTGAGCTAAAGTATCTTTAAAACTATTCGGCGTAATACTCAAAGTTTTCTTTCCCAAAATAGCACAAGCATCAAAACCCTGCGCACAAAGTTTTTCCACCACAATCCCATCCGGATTAACCTGCTCAACAATTTCAACAGAAGAATGAACTCCCTTTACATACTCATCAGGAGTGTAAGAAGATAAAACACTCGGAATCTTCGCATAGATTCTCCACGCCTCTCGAAATCCGACCCCATGACGCATAGCTTCCTGATCCGGTGCCACTAACGCGAGTTTCTCCACCATTCCCGGACTATCTATCGGATGAAAAACTGCTTTGATACTACCACGTGGGATTGGGCCATAATCACCAGCATTCAATTCATCGACGCGGGTTCGAATGGGAGAACGGAAGTTTCCATAATCGATGATATCAGAAACTTTTTTCGCAATAGCGGGGGCTTCAAAGGAAGCGATGTGAACTTCTACGTTATTGAGGATAAGTTCATAGGCGGTTGCGAATACCACGTTACTTTGGCCATACTCGCTATTTGTTAGGAAAAGGATTTTCCGAGGGGGAGCTGAGGTTGCCATGTTTGTGGTTTGGTAGTATGAGGTAGTTATTTTGAGTTGTCAAAGATGGTTGTTTCCAGAAGCCTTTCGGAAGCTGGTTGAGAACCTTCAAGACTATATGGCCCTGGGCTAGTCAAAATTGCCAATTTGAAGTCATTCACCTGAAAGTGGGGGTTATTCATCTAGCTGTATTGCAAGTATGACGAAACCAATCAAAGGTATAGTCGTCTCATTATTCTCGCTTCCGCTTAATAACTGACCCTCGGTAAATCTCAATTCACTTGCAATTAATGACAGTATAGCGATGTAGTCTAGACGAAAGTTGATGTGTTATTGCATTTGTGGATTAGTAAACCGTTTGTTAAATTCTTGGCCTACTAAAAGGCGTTTGATCAATATCTGCACAGACATGAATTAGTGATGAGAGGGTGATTTTATCCATAGGGGAGTGCATTGCCCCTGTTGTTCCAAGCGAAAAAGAGATACGTCCACTAAACTCACCCCGCATTTCTTTTAACTTATGCCCTCAACTCCGAGATGAATTTTATGAACTGAGCGCATGAAATACATACCCAGGCACAATTTTCAGCTATGAAGGTTATCGTATGACAGTCGCAATTGGCGACCTTAATAAGTTGATCATATCATTGTAGCCGTGCTAAATCTGCTTACTGCGTATAGACCTTCACCATTTTCACTTTGGAATTATATAGAACGCTTCAAAGCGGGCATTCAGAATTGTCCACAGTGTGAGATTCCACAATGATACTCATGATCAATTATTCTTCCCGAACGCTCAGATTGATTGATTAGCTTATGAGAAACGTCTCAAGCCTATGGTGGTTGCTAAAACCAGGGTTCCTTCCGAAATGATCGCCTTGTGTTGAACGAGGTTTTGGGGGAGGTGATAAGGTTGATTTCTGAACGGGGCTATAGATCGGAGTGTCAATGTGACATTCACCGACAAAGGTATATTTGGAATACGCAGGCTCAGAATCTCTCAAAATTGGGCGATCAGAATCTTTAATCGTGTTTTCCGAAACTGCAGGTAGCTCAGCTTTTTCCCGAAGAACAAAGGGAGTGGTTAGATCGGGACGGAGCCAACAAACAACATCTCCTGTCATAGCTGTTACTGGCACTAAGACTAGAGTTCCATCTTCAAGTGTGGCAAACCTTCTGTCGTAAAGAACCTCTGGAAAAGCGATGTCAGCTATTCCACGTTCAAACATAATGGTGTGAGCCCACATGATAACACTTATGGTAGAAGCGAGCAGGCTCGCATTCTCGCAGTTGCTCTCGAGGAAATCTCTACTCATTTTTGTAAATATGTTGTGTGAAGAGAGAGTCTGGGCAATCTCGACAATTTTTTTCATTCTGAGACTCCGTGGTTGCGCTGTGAACATATCAATGAGTGATTGTGGACGACGCGGTGCAGAGTCTTCGAAGTTTGATTTCAGGACGTTGGCATCACTATAAAGCGGTCCCAAGATATCACACCAGTGAAGATACAATTCATTTAGTGCATGAATCCTGAGCTTTTGGCATGAACTTCCTTGAAATAGACGACGAAGATATTACTTTGGCAACTTCCAGCCAGCTTGATGTAGAGTGATAGCACTGGAAACCTTTGTAATATTGCCTGCCCGCCAACCACAGCATGCGAAAGATGTGTTCATCCACGTATATAAAGTCGGAGTCGTATGCACTTGTTCTTCAAACACATCAGGGGGCATAGTACTACCCCATATATGTTCCATTTATCGCAGACGTCGATAAGGATGCGGAAACCCTTTCAATGTTCAGTCAGGTACCCATGAAGGTACTTCGAGCTCGTTCTCTTTAGCCCGACAACCAGTGCGATTTTCTTTATATGATAAAATCTCCAATCTTCTGTAATCTGGAAATATCTTCAGGCAGTGGCAAGCCAAATCTGTGAAGACTTTCTCGACGCTCTTGGAGTAGTCAATCGCTATTTCTTCTGCCTCAAGGAAAGTCTGATATGATGAGGTCTGCACGATACCATTGTGTGCAAATACCATATCGCGAGGATCAGAAACTCCCAGTCCTCTTCTGGCCGTTAAGAGGTTAATCAAATTCTCTGCCAAAATCTTGGAGGGTCTTCTAGCTGACTTGAAATTGCTTCGTTCTTTATTCATCGCAGCGAATACACGGTATGCCTCCGAATGCTGGAAGGCAGCAAAGCCTACGACTGCTATCGCTTCAGTAGCCTGATAGAGGTGTCCCCAACTGACATGAAGTCGTCCGCACTGCACCCATGGGTCCACTGAAAAGAGCAACTCTTGAAAAACCCAGACTCTTGTGAACCAAGATCGCTGCACTAGTTCTGAGAAGAGTCTCTCCAACTTTTCATAATGCTCTTTCGTATAAGTAGGGATGCCATTGAACAAATTTTTTCAACATATGTCTTGCCCTTGCCCTTACATATCCTGCCTTCTGTTTGTAGGCACGTGAAATTGCCCCCAGAAGCAGTGTTGATGATTCGGTAGACTCACCAAGATAAATAATCGTGTTTCGAGCGATCTGATAAACCCTTGTCATTTGTATCACTTGCTTACTTTTCTCGGGAGAATCCGCCTGGTCGATGCAAATTGCATCTATCCATAAATGTTGTTCCCTCAAAGAGTCACGGATCTCACGCAGGGCGGAATCCAGGTTGACTGTGATCCCAATCGTTTTGTTATCGACGTAAATCACTTTTCTCTTTCCCGGATCACCCCAAACATAACATAAGGCTGTATATCCATGAAACGGATCGTTTTCCAATTCGCTCAATGTTGTTGTAAGTAAAGTGCAATGGACATCGGCAGCGCTATCAGCAGAAGGTGGTAGAATTAAAAGTCGAATCGAATCTTGTTCAATTAACGGCTTGTATTGATACATTTTGTTCGCCATAGTTAAACGAACTTTAGTGTAGATGACGATGTGGTGAGTAGACTTGAGGTTTGTTTGGAAAGTGGATATGTATATGTGAGCATATCAGCTCTGCTTGTCGCACCAGAGCAGTTTATCAAGTCAGCATAACCAACCAGTCCGAAGAAATACTTACCAGTCATCCTTCCTGCTGATAGCGCTTCGGTGGTGACTGTGGAACTATCGTGGTATGATTCATCTTATGATATTGGCTGTATATACTATGTGAGATTCAGCGGTTACAAGAGTTATATGCAACACAGATAGTGTGTTGGTATGCAATCACGTGCATCTTCACTCCTGTCACAATACAACGTTTTTGAAAGGTGTGATTTACTGAAAGTGCAAAAGGTGTTAAACTTGTCGTCTTGATGTCAAATTTCACCAGGAAGTAATTACACAACGAGTGTTTCCTGGATGACAGACAGATCCAATCCAAGATAATACCTTCAGTACACACAGCTCACCGTAATCACGCACACAAGACATCACTCACAATCGCAATCACAATCACAACGATTCATTATTAAAAGCGTCGTTTTGATCATGGTGGCTCATGGTATGATATATTCTTCATGATCTTCATTGTATTAACTTGCCAACGAAATTTTGCTATCTAACGCGCTTTGACTAACTTGCTACATACTAATCTTGCTATCTACCGAATCTTTCTATCTACCAAACTTGCTATATACATTAAATTCCCTTGCTTATCCTATAACCCCCTCATCGATTTCTCCGAGATGAATAATCTCCGCGTGGATATTTGCGGCGTTCATTTCCTGCATCACTATCTCTTGATCTCTTGCTTCCACCTCTTGCGCTTTCATATCTTCTATTCTCCCGCTCCCGACGCGACAGTTCTTGTTGGTGAATTCCTGTATGGCCACGATGTTGAAGATCTTGCTCACGTTGCCAACGTTCAAGGTCAAAAGCCTGGATGAAATTTGCTGAATATCCGGCAGTGGTAGAAACAGGCGGATTTTGGGTAGTTCTTGCGGAAGATGAGGATCTATGGGTTCGTCCTGGTGCGAGATTTTGATCATTTGGCGGTCTTTGGTTTGGCGAAGCAATTGCTCCGTTATGCATATTGCTATTATTTTCGATTATTCTTGGTGTGGGCCGAACATTTGATGTGATGTAGAAGCAGGTGCTCCACTATGTCTATTGCTGTTATTTTGGACTGTATTTGGTGCAGGGCGAGCAGTTGGTGCGACATTTGAACTGCGATTTTGTTGTGCTGTCGAAGCAAGTGCTTCGCTATGCGTATTGCCAACATCTTGTCCTTTTCCCTGTGTTGTCGGAGTATTTGCTTCGCCATGCACATTGCCATCCTCCTCGCTTCCTTGCTCAATTTCTATTTGCCCATCTGATTCTCCCCCTAAAAGCACAACATGTTAGCATTCATCGTATAGATGCACATTCAAAGAAAATGTAATGACTTACACATTTGTTTGCACCTGTAATCTGGCAGCTCGACTGTCATTTTAATCTCCATTGCTGCTTTTCCTTTGCGTTTGTATTCTTGCTTCAATGTTGCGAATCGTTCATTCCAATTCTCGAATATTAGGTCGAGGATTTTTCCCCCAACATAGTCGCGGGTTTCCCACGAGTTGGATGACATTGCGAAACCTTAATCGTAATTTGCTATTAAGAATGAGCAATTTTTTGATACTATTGGCGCAATTATCGGTTTGAATATATTGAATTGTTTGATTGAGTGTAGAGATTTGTTAATGGTGGACGAGAGGTACAAAATTGACAATCTCGAAAATAAAGTAAAATTTGATTATTACCCAAATCCCTAAATGTGCGTTCAAAATTTCAACAATAGTATTCCCCCTCGAGAAAGTGAAATGAAGTGAAGTACCGCAAATGAAGAGTGAAGTAAGTGAAGTTAGGGGTAAGAAACTCATTAGCCGAAGAATTCAAGAAATGAAAACTTCCCATCACACTTCACACTCATCACAATCATATGAATTCAACCACAAAATACAAGAAACATAAGTATTCGTAAACGCATTCTTTCCTATTTATCTCGCAAAAACATTTCGATAAAAAACAAGCTCTTAAGGGAAGGGTATCAAAAGACCATCCCGCTTTGCTTTATCGGCAAGGAATCAGCCAGTCGCAAATATAATACCGTATTATCGTACATGATTTTCTTTCATTTAACATTCATGCTTGTGGTCATCCATCCATCCCTCCATCCCTCCATCCTTCTTTCCCTTTCTGCCTTTCTTGTACCCCTCTTCCAAAGTTTCTATTTCTAATCATCCATAGGCTTGTCCTCAAGACTAACCCCAACCTTTTGTTCCGCAGCAGGTTCTGGCACCTCGCCAATGCTTCCTACACTGTCTCTGTTACCAGCTGCTACCATATCGAAATTCTTGCTCATTCTTGCAACATTTCCATAAGGTTTTCTTCCTATGCTATTCCTCGAAACTTGACCACTTCGTCCTAAACTGTTTCTCTTTTCCACATTTGGAAGACTAGACACATTTGAAAGACTAGTCCTCTTTTCTACAGTGGGTTCCTCGATTCCGTCTCCAGACCCAGGCATATATGTAGCACTTGTAACACTGGGGGTGCTAGTTTCTGCTCCATTGGCCAATGGTGACAAAGGAGAAGGTTTTGGTTCGACGACTGGACTAGCTTCGGCTGACGATGGAACTTCGAGACTTTGTCTCACGCTTCCTCGGGAGTTTCTTGTTGAATCGGTCGTGGCTGTGGGCGATGTTTGTACCGGGAATCGAGTCTCAGCTGCGGGTGGTCCTGAACTTCTATCTCTACGGTGACCACGTGGGCTTGGCGCAGGACTAGTGGCGCGACTTCTTGCCCCACCAGCTGCAATGATTGCTTTTTGTCTGGCTTCCATGTTGGCTCGTCTGTTGCTTTCATCGGTGCTGATAGCTCTAGGTCTTCGGGTATCAATGTTTGACGCAGAATTGAGCGATGAAGCTCGCTTAAGCTCAGAGAAGATAGCGTCTTTGTGAGCAAAGAGATCACGAATCAGACGGTATGAATACTTTTCTTCCATGGTCATTGAGGTTTCAGTCTTTGGTCGAAGGATGCATGGTGCAAGGATGGTCGCGAGTTCGGAAATATAAGTCTCATCAGCGGAAGTAAGTTCAATTAATCTAGTGAAATGGGTCATGAGGGCATCCAAAGTAGCAATGTTGGCCAACCTAAGTTGACTGAGGGTATTTTGTAGGACTGAGATTCGAGCTGAGTCGGTAGATTCGGATGCTGGCGTTGAATAGATTGTTTTCATAATTTCGTAAACATGAGATGACACTAAAGAATCTATGGCCAGGTATTAGTTGAGACATTTCATGAAATGATCAGCAGGGCTAGGCTTACCTGGTAATTCCAGTAAATACAATTTAAGAACGCTTGCAATAATAGGGATTTCATATGGCTCCAAAGTTTCAATAGGGAATGGTTTTCCAGTGTTGAGCACATCTCGTACTCGGTGGGTTTGATGAAGGGGAACATCAACCAACCAGACACTTCTCCTAGCTGGATCGCCTTCAAGATCAGGATATCTGTTATCGAGGAAGGTGAGAATAGTGGTAATGATGACTGGTACCCTCTTTCTGTCTCCGCGAGCCCGAGCTTCTAGATCAACACCAAAAGTTTGTTCATCTGCAGAGTTGTAATAATTCTCGTAAACGATAACCTTTGGCGCGAAACCACCAGTGCGATAGTTTTCGAGAAGATATCGCAAATCTCCAAGAGGTTGTACGGTTTCTTGGTAAAGCATCATCTTATCGACTGTTGATTGCAGACTGGGAATGACGTTGCTGATCGTTCCGGAAAAGTCGAGAATAATGGTCTTGATAGCCTTGAGTCTGTCAAGCTCACAACGTTCCAAATATCTCAAATGCTCGAAGATAGCCTCCTCCAATTGACATCGCAAATGATCCAATTTTTTCACACCTTGCTTGTACCTCTCATCTGCTTCTGCGGCTTCCCTGCGAAGACGGTCGCCTGGGGTTTCGTTTGGATGTTGATTGTTCAAAGGATTCCAGCCCGCTAAATATTCAGAGACCGATCCAACAGCAGGAGAATCTACAAAATCGGAATTAGATGCGATAGAGAAAGTGCGGCCAACTTGGGGCTTCTTTTCGGGAATTCCTGTCAATTGGAAACCCTTTGGTCGCCATTGGTAGAACATCTTGGAACTATTTGCGAAAACATTTCCAACATTTCCAATCAATCGTAAAAAGCCATGCGATACCAAATCCTGTCCAATGCGTTCAGCGTGACTGACACTTGTTGCTCCCATGAATTTCTGAAAGTATTCCACTATATCTGCACCGCATGTTGTATTTTGATATGTGCCCAAGATTGGAACTTTTGTATCGACCAATTTGATTGTTTGTAGAAGGTGTGTCAAAATCTTCTTGACTTGTTCCGAATTGTAGATTTCGTCACCAATCTCTAAAGATTGGTCATCCTCTTCATCGTCCTTATCGCCAACCTTAATCTCTGGAATCTTAGCCTTCGGACTGGTTTCTGGATCCTGGAAAGCAAGTTTGTTTTCCTCTTCAATATCTTCAACCAACCGACACTTATTAAAGTAATGACTACGCAGCTTCTTGACCAGCTCTGCTTGTTTGTCGTGAAGTTTTATCCGGGCTTGTAGGTCATCCTGTGAATTTTGAACTCGATTTTCGTGTGCATCACACCAGCGCGAAAAGGGGGCGACGACTAGATCTCGAATGCTTTGTGCGATTTTGCGGTGATTTTTGGCAGCTTCTTCCATTTCTGTCCGTACTCCATCGTATGCCTACATTGCGTCAGTCTACCAGCCCCTCGAAAAGACGAAGAAAAATCTCCTGAATATCAATACCTTTCTGACACTTGCTCCATCATCTCTACCGAAACCGCCTGTTATTTTGTCTGTTGCTGCTCCAATATCTCCCAATTTCATCCCATAGACATCTTCGGCTTCCGCACGCATTCGCGCAATGGTCAGAACTTGTTGGTTTTCGGCGACACCTTGCTGCAGTTTGCCGAACAGGACACCAAGACCTATTTTGATGTAGTTGTATTAGTACATGAATGCAGGAACGGATGGACACATTCTGCAGAAACAGGAAGCCCCTTACCTCCAGCATAATCTCCCGACCAAAAGGAATCCGCAAAATTGGGCGCCATTATTATGTACTCTTATCGTTGATTCGTGACTTCAATAATTGGGATTAATGTATTCGTTGATACTCGAAAGGTTCAGAAACTTGAGACAGACAAAACAAAGAAGAGAAAATCCTTCTCGTAGAAAGGAATAGGGATTGTTGAACGAATGACAGATTGACTGGAGAACTGGAGAAGTTTATGATGGACGAAGAAGTCGAAAAAGCTGGGCAGGGAAATAGAAGGAAGGATTGCGGATTTTTAGTTGTGCAAGGGCCCTTTGGAACGAGGTTGACCGTTGATCTCGTTTACCCGGGGGTTTCAGAATGTTGAGATGAGTGAAGCTATCACCAACGTCGTTGGATATGATTCAGTTGGATAGTTTATTGAATGAAATGGGGATTGTGTGAGTGTGTGAGTGTGATAAGTAGGTAAACAAAGACATAGATAGATAGATAGTATAGAAAAAAAGGAGTTTGGGAAAGAGTTGTAAATCATTAAAAGATGGAATGAGATATAATGTATTTATTATATAAAATGACATTTATTACTCGATTACTCGATTACTCCTTATTCATAGGTGCAATGCTATATATCTATATATACCTACTAGGGACCGATATAATTTTAATATACGAGTAAATATTAAAAAGCACTTAAACTTTTCCAGTCTTCACTTCAATTTCTTGGATTTTCGTTCCTACTTTAACTGACGTGCAGGGTCTTACATGAAAACCTCCCAGTAGCAAACCTTAAAACTCAGGTGTAAATCATTCCCAAAAATAGCTAAATCAGGAAATCTCCGGTAATCCATTAAAGGGGCTTAGCGCATTCATGCCAGCCTAGTAATTAATCACGTTAATGGACTGGCTGGACGAATAAGTACGGAGTAGGTGGCTCGAGGATACGTAGGTACGAGCGAGGGTATTGGAGTCTGGCACAAGCTGGGGGAATGAAGATGGATGTTGACGTAAAAAGATGAGTGATATGATTTGATATGATTTGATCATGTGATCATTTCACCTCTTCTATTCCTTATCTCGAGACCCTGACTTGAGACCGTTGGTACTTGGGTACATGGAATCTCATGCTTTTGTCACCGACATCAACTTTTTCATTTGGAGTCTTGCTATTGTACAATTATGCCTCACACAGAACAAGATCCTCTATTACCAAGAGATAGATCATCGCCAGAAATCAAAGATTCAAGAGAAAGTCGAAATGCCTGCTTTGAACCAACAAATGGCCGGGGGAAGAGACAATTCAGTGATCTAATGGCAGTGGTTCTGGGACTATGCTCTCTGCTTATACTTACTATGCTAATCATCCCTGATGGTTTTGTTGATAATATCTTGAATCATCATTGGCCGTTTGGAAATCAAGAGCCAAAGACAATTGAAGAGAGAGTGGATAGAATCTTGACTGAAACACCACTTATAGGTATGGCCCTCTCGGAATCTCGGATAACATATAAATCATAACTCTTCAGCACTTTGACTGACTAAACATAGATGGACACAATGATCTTGCAATCTTCATAAGATCTGCTTATAAAAATCGCATCTATGATGAGAAGTTTACCAATAAGTTTGAGAATGGTGGAATGGCTTCTCACGTGGATCTTCCTCGATTGAAAGCAGGAAAGAATGGAGGTGCTTTTTGGAGTGCATTCGCTCCATGTCCCTCAAACTGGAGTAATTTTTCCACCCCAAATTATGACTCTTGTTAGTGATATCTCGTTGGTGTTTTGATTCATTTTGCACTCTTTATACTTCTCTCATTTCATCTTGCTTTCTCTGGGTATACAATGTTGTTCTACAGTCCTGATTAACATTTTCCGCGACTTCTTCCACGCATTTATTTTTTCTCATAATGTATTCAGACATCCGACTAACTTTCCGATGTAGCTGTTGACTTTACCTTGACACAACTTGACCTTCTCGCTCGTCTCCAAGCTGCCTACCCCTCTCATTTTGCACTTCCAGGAGACAGCAGTACTGCCTTGACTGCTTTCCAAAACGGCCAACTCATATCGCCATATATAATTGAAGGTCTACACCAAATTGGAAATTCTATATCTAATCTCCGCCAATACTATACTCTTGGAGTTCGCTACGCAACCTTGACACACAACTGTCACAATCGCTATGCAGATGCGGCACTGGTTGAGCTCCCAGAGGGTGGTATCGAGAAATCTAAACCTCAATGGGGAGGTGTTTCACCCGCTGGTCGTCAGCTTATCCATGAGATGAATAGATTAGGGATGATTGTTGATCTATCACATACTAGTCAAGACACAATGCGTGCTGTGCTCGGCTGGGAAGCCGACTGGTCAGGTAGTCTCGCCCCAGTAATCTTCAGCCATTCATCTGCCTACGCAGTATGTCCTCATCCGCGAAACGTACCTGACGATGTTCTCCAACTCGTCAAGAAAACAAACTCCCTCGTCATGGTCAATTTCTCACCAGACTTCGTATCATGCGTTGCAAATTCGTCCAATACAAATGGACTTCCAGATTTCTATCCCAACAATTCAACCTTAGAACATGTAGCCAGACATGTCATGCATATCGGTGATCTCATCGGCTATGACCACGTAGGCTTCGGTAGTGATTTCGACGGTATCCCCGATACACCAAAGGGACTAGACGACGTAAGCAAGTTTCCAGACTTAGTAGCTGAGCTTCTCAAACAAGGAGTCAGTGACGAAGATGCTGGAAAGGTTGTAGGTGGTAATATTTTAAGAGTTTGGAAAGATGTCGATGAAGTATCTGCACAGTTGAAGGCGAATGGGGAGAAGCCCCTAGAGGATGACCTTTCTTGATTTATGGTTCAGATGTATTTGCGTGTACATAAGGACTGTTTTTCTTTGTTCGAATTTGGCTATTCTGTATATGTGTGTGCAGTTCATTTTTAGACGCTCAATGTAAAATGTCGTTCTAGAGGTCTCGCATTGTTTAAATTCATAGCTTTAACATTCAAATGTATTCCACAATGAATATTCATTGCGCGGAACAGTGATTTCTGAACATCAAATCCACACTTTCACGACCACCAGTGGATGTACAGACTGACGGGATACTACAAATGATTGGCTTGTAGATATCTTTTGATATACCAACTCGAATATTTTAGGAATTATCACAATTGTTCAATAGAAATGGAACAATCAGAAGGTGGAATTTGATATCAAACCATTGAAGAATGGATTTGTTGAAAAGATCTAGAATTGAGAAGGGTCCCGTCAATTCATGGGCCTTTAATAGATTTCAAGAATTATAAGTAAGTATTCTCATAGTCGTCGAATGATGTATTGGATTGTAGTGGTAGAATGTGATATGGGATGCGGGCTAGATCGGACGCTAGATTCTATTGCGAGAGGAGGAAGTGTAGATCTCAGGGTAGGAGACCGATTCTACGATGATATTATTACTTCAATGTTTGATCATCTTCTGGAAATTGGAGACTCCAGTAATCATGGATCAGATGATAGGATTTTGAGGGAGATTCTAAACTTGACAGTCTGGATTCTAACACATGAACCACGAGAGCAAACTCGCCTGAAATTTGAGGCCATGAGAGTACCTAGGAGATTTTCTGTGGAAAGGGGTGATCGTGTGAGAACTCAGAGTTGTGATTCGATCCAACCTATCAAGTCTGAACTCAATGAGCAGGCGGCCTTACAGTGTTGATGAATCTCTGACCGAGCAGAACATCAGGGCGGATAGGATGTAAAGCCATCATTGGGGCATGTGGAGGTTGCACCGAGTCGATGAATCAAAACATATATGACGAAAGAGAATGTAAAATCAGACTATCAAAGCTTGAATCCCTCTGTATACTTGCAGGCCTCGTATCGCGGTGGTTTATCACCTTTTTGAGCAAATATCATGTTGTAGAACAGGATATAGACCTGATCTTGTAGCCCTTGTGAACGTGTGATTTCTCTGCAACATAACTAGCGAAGATCTTGTTGAGAAACACTAATTGAGCTCCAAGTTCATAAACTTCTATTGTCATTACTTGACAATAGATTCAGAAAGCTCAAGATTGTGACATGAGGGTATTCAGACCCAGATCATTGGCATGACCGATCGACAACTTTGAAACGCGGGGTTGGAGTGCACTTGCGTGAGCTATTGAACATGGTATGGGTGATGCAACTTGAGCGTTCCCTTTCCATTGTTTCCAAAAATCTTCAGTATTCCTGTGTTTCGACGCCAACGCTTGTGAATCAAGAGGTCTTGTCATTCTGTGCCATTGCCCCTCACAAGAGGTAGTAGATACTTGACCAACAACACTCATCAATGTTGATGTACACAACGATGAGTGTTGACCTTCTTGAAGAGGTCATGCTATCCTACATGACAGACTCATGAAGTTTGTATGAAGTCAAATTATACACAAAGGGCACAAAGGATGCTGATCAAAAAAGTGTACCCAGTTTACATCTCGTGACTTGATCAAATTGGTAAAATCCCCGCGACGCCTCGACCACGCGTGGACCATTGAACTGCATAGATGGTACCAATGCACGGCCGGAAAAAAAATCCATCTCGAAATGCTTCATGTGCAAGAAACTTCCTGCAAAGAAATCATCAATTCTTTTCAAATCTACAACTATTTCCACTTTCCAGTCGCAAACATGGCGCAAGGACAGGTCCAAGTGCATTTCAGCACCACATCCCCAGATATTGAATTACCTGAAGGAAAGCAGCAATTGCTCGTTCCTACCAGTATGTTTTAATCCAAGTTTTCCTCATGTCTTCTTGAAGCCTTTTTCAAAATTAACGATGAAATAGATGTACGAAGATATGGACTTTCACAGATTCTCAATTCCGAGGCGATGCTCGATACCTCTTCGCCGATACCGTTCGATTTCTTGATCAACGGAACATTCTTGCGAACGACCCTCGATGAATATCTTACTGCGAATGGATTATCCTCCGAAACTACATTAAACTTACAATACGTCCGAAGTTTGATTCCTCCTCTCTATGAAGCAAGTTTCGAGCATGATGATTGGGTCAGCAGTGTTGATGTTTTATCTGGTAGTTCTGCTGTAGGAACTTGGGGTAAAAATTTAATTGTTGAAGGACAGGAGCGCATATTGTCAGGTTCTTACGATGGACTTCTCAGAGTTTGGAACAAGTCAGGTCAGGCTATCGCAACATCTGCGCCTGCCAGTGTTGGTGGACATACCTCTGGAGTGAAGGCTGCGAAATGGATCTCAGCCAGACAGATTGCATCGGCAGGTTTGGATCGCACAATTAGGATATGGAATTATTCTGAATCAGAGGATCATTTCTCTGCGCAATTGAAGCCAACTATGGAATTATATGGTCATACCGGTAGCATCGATTCAATCGCAGTTCATGGACCAACAAATCGCATTTTATCTGCTTCGGCAGATGGACAAATTGGTTTCTGGACTTCACATAAATCTTCGGCACCTGAAGTAAATAACAGTCTTATTTCTGGACCATCTTCCAAACGACGCAAAATTACAACCTCCACATCTACCCCTCAGCGTGGTCCCCTATCTCTCATGGATTGCCACAATGGACCTGCGACTGCCGTCATTTTCAACCCCCACGATCCTACCGTTGCATATTCAGCTTCTCAAGATCATACCATCAAAACACTCGACATTACCACTTCTAGTATTGTCGATACGAGAACTTTGTTGAACCCTATACTCTCATTAAGCGCTCTACCAGGAATTGGCCATCAAATAATAGCAGCGGGTACAACAGCACGTCATATCGCTCTCATTGATCCTAGAGCTTCGGCTGCTACAACACAAGCCATGACACTTCGTGGACATACCAACTTCATTTCATCAATATTTGCGGATCCTGATAGCAACTATGGATTAGTATCAGCAGGTCACGATGGAACTTGTAGGGTATGGGATCTTAGAAGTACAAGACAAGGAACGAAAGATGAAGGACTTGGTGTTGTTGGAGAGGCAGTTTACATCATTGAGAGAGAAAGTAGGAAAGACAAGACGACTAAGACAGTTGGTGGTGAGGGAGTAAAGGTATTTGACGTTAATTGGGATAAGGATGTTGGAATTGTTAGTGCTGGTGAAGACAAAATGGTTCAAGTGAATAGAGGAAGAGGTGTTACAAGACCCGAAAATTAGTTTATATACCCTTTTATAATAACCAAGTGGATTTATACTTGATATAAGATTTTTGATTTGCATAACCATCTTTGGAATCTTGGAAATATAACCACGTGAAAACAATTCTGTTTGTTTGATACATATAACTACGTCTAGACTTTACGAATTTGGCTACTCTACAAGAAATTTCTACATAGCGTATAGCAATTCTCGTGTCCAATTTCATATACGCCCTTTTCAACGCTATCACGGCTATGTTACGGCCCTTTATTGTTTGTAAAATGTTAAATAAGTCGAAATAAAAATGATCCTTTCCAATTTTAGTCACTAGTCCCATAATTTTTACTTCAAACGATTGTAAAAATTGGGCTAGTATGGCATCATTTTTTTATCCAATTATGGTGAAAATCGTCCACAGACATCCCGTGTAGTGATCATATTTATATATCAGATCCCAATGGCCGCTGAAATCGAAATGGTTTTTTCACTTTGTAAGTTCTCGTTGATTTATATCACCCAGGGTCGGTCAACTTTTCGCCACCAAATATACTTTGTTGGGGTTTTGTAGAATAGAGAATATTCATCATCTGTGAGATATTCAAGAATGTAACTTCCAGATCGAAAGGATGGTATTCAGAATACATCCGATGATGTGGGAAATGATACCCTCCCAATTGACCCCAATAGTGGGCTTTCTCGGGGTCTCCAAACTCGTCATTTAAGTATGATGGCACTAGCAGGTAACTACAAACCCCCTCCCCCCACCTTCTATATCATCAACCTAACACCCCCAGGCATCATCGGACCGGGCCTTCTCGTCGGTGCAGGCGGTGCGCTCGCATCCGGTGGTCCAGCATCTCTCCTCATCGGCTTTGGCGTAATTGGACTCATCGCCTTCTCCATCATGCAATCCCTCGGAGAACTCACCACTCTCTATCCGTCATCCGGCTCCTTCATCTCCCTCACATCACGTTTTTTCGACCCCGCCTTCAGCGTCGCCGTCGGCTGGAATTATTTCATAATCTGGGCTGCCGTTCTCGCAAATGAATACAACACCCTCTCCTCCATTTTTATTTTCTGGAGCGACAAAGTTCCTCTCTGGGGCTACTTTCTCATTTTCTGGTTTGCTTTTCTCGCCTTTCAGTTACTAGGCGTAGCCGCATTCGGCGAAGCAGAATTCTGGCTCGCGTTGTTGAAATTGGGGGGTTTAGTTGCATATTTCATTTTCTCCATTATTTATGCGGCGGGGGGGTTGAAGGGTCAGGACCACACGCTGGGATTCCAATATTGGCATGATCCGGGGGCCTTTGCGGACGGGTTTCGCGGCGTCGCAAAGGTATTTGTGTTTTGCTCTACTTTTTACGCGGGGTGCGAATCGATCGCCGTTGCGGCGGCGGAGACGCGCAATCCGAAACATGCGGTTCCGCTTGCGATTCGTCAGGTGTTTTGGCGCATTATTTTTATCTATATGGGCTCTGCACTGTTTTTCGGAATGACCTGTCCGTGGAATGCGGAGGGATTAGCCAGTGCCGGATCGAAAGCGCTCAGAAGTCCCATGACCGTCGCGATACAAAATGCAGGGTGGGAAGGAGGCGTGCATCTCATCAATGCGTTTATCCTCGCGACGTGCTTAAGCGCGGTGAATAGTTCTATCTACATAGGCTCGCGAACGATATTATTCCTCGCGCAGGAAGGACACGCGCCGAGATTCTTGAGATTCACGGATCAGAGAGGAGTTCCGATCTACGCGATTGTTTTCACGAATCTATTCGGCGCGTTGAGTATGATGAATGTTTCTTCTGGGGCGGGAGCCGCTTACAATTATATCGTGAATCTTTCCGGCGTCTCGACGTTTCTTGTTTGGGGCTCGATCTCATTTATTCATATCCGTTTTCGTTCGGCGTGGAAAGCACAAGGGAGGAGAATTTCTGATTTGCCGTTTGTCTCTTTCGCTTATCCGTATAATGCGTATTTTGGATTGGCGGCAAATATCTTTTTGGCATTGGTGCAAGGGTGGACAACTTTGAGCCCTTTTAGTGCGGGGGATTTTGTCGATGCGTATATTTTGTTGGCACTTTTTCCATTGATTTGGGCGGGGTATAAGATCTGGTTTAGGACAAAAATTTGGGATTTGAGTGAGATTGATTTGGATGAGGGGAGGAGAGATGATTTGGATCCTATAGAGGCGGGAGGTTTCGAAAGTTTGGAGGGCGGAGAGGGGAGTGAGGTGGTTAAAAAAGTACCGTTGTGGAGGAGGATTGCGAAGAACTTTTAGATGTCGGTTTGATGTTAATGATAATGAAACTACCAGAGCTAGTACAAAATTTATAACGCTTAGGGAAAGAGTGCTGAAGGTTGTCCATCATAATCATTGATAAAATGTAATCTATGGTACACTAGAACTGTCACTTCGATGCGCAATATCGCCAGTCCGCAATAATTGTGCAAAAACAACAGAGTGGAAGTGGTTGAGATTTTGGATCTGCAAAAAACTAGCGAAATGGAAATACAGAACGTACTGTGTCGTTGACTTCAGCGTCTGTAAAAGAAGAACCCTGGTTGTTGAAACGTGGTATGAAGATCATCTTCCCACCTTGTAGCAATATGCATCCATCCCTTAGACATACTCTCAACTCTCGAGCTTAAATCCTATATCTCTAGCAAACGAACAGGGGAAAATACATAGACAAAAACAAAAACAGAAATAGAAATAGAAACAAACAATACCTTTGCAGAAGAACAACAATAAATTTTTGTCATAATGCAAGACTACACACAATCCCATCCACTAAAGAGACTAAAATGCCAATTACATTCACATCCTTTTTACTTCCGTCCTTCTTCCTACTCATTGAAGTACGGAAATGACTAAGATTCGGCTTGTTCTATTTGTCCAGTATCATAAAACACTTTGGGTCGATGACTGCGGATCGTAAGCGACCGTGGTATATATTCCAACCCACACATGGGACATTCAAAATATGAGGTGCTGTGTTGAGTAACACAATGAACACAATATATTGAACCAGGGGAGCTGCTTGGGGGATGACGAGATTGCTTACTGGCAGATTCGATAACACCGTGAGGATATTGATTATGAGCCATAGTATAAGAAATTTCTAGAATAAATTTTGTGTCGGGGAAGTGAATCAAACGAAAAAGATGTGGAAAGAAAGGGCAGTCTTGAATCAGATACGAAGATGGCTGTAGATTTTTCTTCCCAATTTGCAAAAGCGGTTCGTTCTGGTGAAGTCTTTAAACAAAAGGAGCGACCAAATACAACCAGAAGAGAATGCGGCACAACCCGTGATTATAACCCCGCTCTGTGTAACCCAATTCCCACTGAAAATCCAGGTAAAGAAAACGCCATTATATGCATGAATTAGCAATGAAGGGTAGGCGAATGGAGCATTGAAATGGACGGATACCGACTTCAAATTACTTCGGTGGCCAATTCCAAAAACGAGATTTGAAGCAGCAGTTGACAGATTTTGGCATGCATCATATCATTAAACACAAAAATCCTGAGAAAGCTGGTCATTAGACTTTTAGAATACCTGATACATTTAAATAGGTACACCGACGTCATAATGATAGACATTTGCGCTGAAGACTCCAAAGAAAAATTTAGAATGATGAACGTCCAGCCGTCGTATAATTTCCAAAGAATAGATCATCAAACACAGATGCTCAAATCACACTACAGGGATGTAAAAGAAAACCAAAGAGCGTTGAGCACGTAGCCCGAACGTTCAGATCCAAAGAGCATTATACCTATGATGAAACAGTAAATGAGAAACCCCAGGTTCGTAAATGAAATAACAATATTTCCAATAAATTGGAGAGAAATGAAGCGCGAAAGATCCCCCATTCATGATAACCACAGAAAGGCGTTCTTGAAAGGGGCAAGAGGACGTGAAATTGGTGAATACTTGGTGTACCCTTACATCGCAAGCAATCCATTACATTTCATATACTCGGCCTTCTTCACTTCGAATGCTACTTTGGCTTGTTCGAGCTTTGCTTTCATTGATGTCGTTGTGACGATCAAGCTTCTGATGACTGGCATCTCGTACACTGGTGCTCCATATGTCACACTACGGCATTTCTCTAACTTATCGAATTTGATCGATGCTAGGCTTCGAAGCTGCGCAGCATATTCTTTTTGTATGGATTGGATAGACGCCTCAAGCTTTGGTTCGTACAGGCCTGTATAGAGCTTCAAAGAAGCGTCGATATCTTGAAGCTCAATGAATGAAAGATCTTTAGATCTCTTAGGTGTAAAGACATATGTATTGCATGGGTATCGGCCAGTGACGAGTGTAAGTTCCTCGAGCCTTCCTGCGTCAATCAGGCAGACATCAAGAAACACTTCAAGGACGTACGGGTTCTGGAAACTCCACCACCACTCTTCCGTGTCGTACTCCTTATCAAGAGCAGTTACCGGAAGAGGTTCGGCAAATACAGCTAAGCGTTTCTAGTTCTCGATACCAGGTAGTCTATGGTGAAATGCTTCGTTAGGAGCGATACACAAGGTGTCGAAGTCGAAGTCGAAGTCGAACCAAGTTTTAAAGGGTGACTCCGGTGAGGCGAAAGTTTGGGTATATCTCGTAGACGCGACATTGAATGACTCACGACAGACATACAAAGCTGTGACAGGATTTGATGATTGAACAACATAGTCTGGGACGCGTATAACTTCATGTGACCCAAAACACCTTGACGTTTTCCATCCAAAAATCCAGGTCGGGCGAAGAAGCACAACACGTGGGCCAGGGAGCGATGCCTCCCACACCATGACCCTAATCTCGAGCGGCAGTTCCATGAAACAAGTGAACGTGGTCCTGTCATTAAAATTGTCTTCATAGTAGTTCGCAGGTCTTCGAGGGCGGATAGAACCTTCGTATTGAGGGAGTGAGCAATTTGGACATTTTGGAACAAAGATCTAGTACTCAGTATCGCAGTGCATGCAATATACAGCATGGGTATTGACATTTGACCTTAAGCTACGTTGCTTGGGCAAACTAGGTTTAGGAGGCTTCGATTTGTTTGGCATGATCGAAGTATAGACTGACTGTGAGATTTGATACGAGTTTGTGTGATTTTGCGAAGTACTGTTCTTAGATGCCGAAGGAACGTATCCCGAGCTCTATGACTGCGCTACAGCCCGACTTTATAATTAGAAGAAGTCAACAAAAATTTTGAAGGATAAATTTTCGCGCGATTACCATAGCACTTCTCCCGCTGTGTGTCACAGTAATCTTCAAACGAAAAGACAAACGCTTTGCGAATGTTTGGTGGCGCTTTATGTCAAGGTAGGATACATAATGCATATAATCCTTGCATTTTGCGAGGAGTGGCTGGATTAGGGAAGAATAGGCATACTACTGACTTTCCTCATCTACTGGGTAAGGATATCTTGCCAAATAAGCAAATCTCAAAAGTAAGTCACCTGTGGCTCGGGATCTCGAGTTCATGGCTGACTTGGCTAAAATTGATCAAGTTGATTGAAGAGTGATATGAGTATGAGAAATATCTCTTAAAATCATGTAGAATGATATGTAGTATCAGATTTCATGATCGAAACGTGGTAGTTGCATTAGTAATCCTTACATGCGGTTGAGAAAGATGAGGTTTACATGCACGCAATACGCGCTAGCGCCATAGCATCACGTGTATATCTACTTACACGTCGCAATAAATTGCTAGAAAGGTAATTCTGAAGAAAGGAAAAAGACGAAATACTTCTGGTCTACTTTTGGGGTATAATTTCCAAAACCATGCTGAGCAGGAGGAATCTAGGTCACGTGTACCCCCTGATCTCATGTTCTTCAACACCTTCAATCGACTGATTCCAGATTGAAATATTTTTTCATTGACGTTAACAATCAATTTGAGAGTCAATCTCAGTCCTGAATGGTAATTAAGTTAGAGCGTCGTACCCCGAGTGGCGCCAAAGCTCACGCTCACATGATAATCCTGTTTTAGCTTTCAAGGTCAAGATTTTGGAAAGAGTAGTGCAGAAGTATGCTATTTCATTACAGCTTCTTTTTAAGACTCAATAAAGAGATGCGATAGAAAACATAAACCGGAGCCCAACTCATCTCATCCATCAAAGCCTTCCAATTCATTACTCGTACTCCCACTTCAAACCATCAAGAAAATCAGAAAAGGAAAAGTCCTTGAGCAATGCACCTAAGAATCTCTGACATGGCAAACTTCCAGATCCTCCAGAACTCTGTCTATCAAGAAATGACTCTAGATTGCAGCCTTGACGAGGTTGTTGGCGAAGTTGTGGTCATTGAAAGGACAGTTGGCCTTTCCGAAGTTGGTGTTCTGTAAAGCTGTCTTGCTAACAGCTGGCAAGAAGTCGTACCACATCATTGGCAAATCTCTGCCCAATGTGTTGGTGAACTGCAACTCGTGGTTGGTTGGGAAAGAGACATAGTATTCGACCTTCAATCTATCACCCTGGCGTTGGGGATTGGTCGTCTTCTTCACACTTCCGTGACCAGATGCGGCGGCACCGATCAAGGAGGGGTTGGCGACGGAAGGGTTGTTGACCCAGGCGACGACGTACTCCCAGTCGTGACGATGGCCTCCAACGACGTTTCCAGCTGCTGGTTGATCCTTGGGAAAATCTGAAATGGGTTAGAAGGTATGAAAAGAGTGGAGAGAATGGATGGGATACTTACACCACGCGTACATGATACCATAGCGACCTCCAGACCAGCCACCTCGGACATAGGTTTGACCCTTGCTCTGATCACGGCAGCCGGCTGAGACATTTCCAGTATCTTGGAGTCCACCACTGCAGGATGTATTAGTAAAGAGATATTAGAAGGGAAAGGAAAAAGTATTTTTCATACCTGGTGTTACCATTACCATCAACTGCACTGTATGGTTGACAACCATGAGCAATGTGAAGGAATGGCTCGAATTTCTTCAAAGTGTTACCCAAGGCGTTACCAGGTACGTTTTCTCCCCATGGGTTGATGGAGTCATGAGGAACGACGGCACGAGCTTGGATGGTGTTCTCCTCAATGGGAGCACCCTTGACTGCTGCAGCGGCAGCGAGGAGGGAAAGGAATTTTGCGTTGGAGAAATACATATTGAATTAGATTGCTGATTTTAACGATTGTGGTGATTTGGAATGAATGAATGGATGAATGAATGAATGTGGAAGCTGATGATAATGCTGATGATGCTGATGATGCTGATGATGCTGATGATGCTGATGATGCTGATGATGCTGATGATGCTGATGATGCTGATGATGCTGATGATGCTGATGATGCTGATGATGCTGATGATGCTGATGATGCTGATGATGAATTGAAAGAGAAGACATCGTCGATACTTATATAATATTTTGCTATCATCACTCGATGTATTCAACCCGCACAAAAAGTATCTCCACCCAGACAATTCCCAGCAACATATTCTTGCATTGCCTCAATTCCATTTCCAAGAGCCTCAATTCTTCCTCCCAAGAGCTTCAATTTCGGTGTGTACCCATGCCGGGCTTTTGCCATTGCCATAATATCTCTCCAAGCAAAGATTCATCTCTAGTTGTCCACCTTCTCTGACATTCACAATGACAATGTAAAGTGGTCAACAATCTTGGCAATCACATCTTTACCAAAATCGTCCAACGTTTGTATATAAATCTCTTGGCCTTTTCCGAATACGATAAACCATTTCAGATGAGATATAGAAACACGTGAAATGAATGAGGCTCGTCGCACCCATAAATTCGCTTGGCATCACAATGGGTTTCTGCTTTTAACTTTTAACCTTAAATTCTTTCAACCTTATTTTAGGCACAAATCCTAAATGTAAAATTGTAAAAATTATGCTTCGAAGATGCAATTCTGACCATCCCAGATACATGTTTGTGGTTTGAACTCGAAATCGTTGGAATACAGGGTTGTACCTGTGCTCGAGCGGTGGGTGGGTGGGTGGTTCGTCCAAAGCACCGACTATAGTTAGAACAAAGCAATTGTGTGCTCGGAGAAGCTGTAACATTGTAAACTCCGCATTAAATACTAAGGCTATGTATGGATTTTCAATGAACCAGTACTTCAATTCGAAACCATAGTATAGAACTCGAGTAATCAAGATCCCAACCACCAATCACAAACATAGAGAGAAACAACCTTCACCCCTTCTTCAACAGTACAAAAAGCTGTCGGAAATGCGGACATTCTTCAATTTCTTCCAGATATTGATCAACAAGAAACATCACATTGTAAATCCACAACAAACAATCCCCATATAATTTCCTTATTCGTTAATGATTGAATCAATTCGCTACCCATTTCTTAAGCTTTCGCATGACATAACTCATACCTTTATCCTCACACCCGAATCTAAATATATTAATCGAACCATTCCACCAATGTTCGAATTTTCGCTTAAGCACAGCCTCCCTCTCTCCTTCTTCTACAGATCATAATCTTCGGCAGACCAGTACCGGTAAATCACCATCTACTTATTTCTCCAAGAAAACATCGTGCCTGCCAAGATCATGCTTAACTGTGATCCACCGTTTAGCTCATCGTTGCCTGGGTCCCATTGACTTTCTCGGTACTTGATTGCCCGGATTTCGAGAGCTTCTACGACCGTTACCACCGAATAAGAGAATAAATTCTAAGTAATTTCGTTCACAGAAGGAAAATTCTGCTGACAGGTTCAAGGCATTATCATCGGCATAGGATACTCACGCTATAGTCTTTCTCGAACGACATATTCCTCGGACTATGTATAAGAGTTTCATGGGACTGCCTTCTCTCCCACACTGGAAGATGATGCGAGTAATGACAGTACACTTTCATCTACAGTAGATAACTCATGAAGACGGGATTGAGAGCCAAGTATGGATAACACTAGGTAGTCATGGATATCGTATTGTATATCGTATTGCTGCGGTTGTCAAGCTATCGAAAGATCTTTGGGCAGTCGATGGAAAAAGGGAGTGAAACTATTCCCATCCCAGATGAACTTGAGCATGATTTTGAGGATACAAGAAAAGGGAAACTCTCTCTCGATACCTCTTCCCTGAGAATCACAATCAGACGTTCCAGATCTCAATTCCAACCCTGACAACAAAAACTAACTTTGAAATTGAATAAGATGGCTAACTGCCAAGTTGATTTTGCAAAGTTCTAGCCCTATTACAAATTCTTCAAGTTTTTAAGCCACTTAATTTCCAATTTCCATCAGTTTCAAGGGCAGAAATATTGCATGAAGCGTCTTCCCCCCCTTTCTCTTCTCTTCCTTTCATATTCATTTTTCTTGACTTGATATTGTGCTGCTGCTTCCTTTAACTTCATCTCCATCGCCTTTTCCATCATGGTTTTGCATTCAAAAATGGACAATTTCAAAAGGAGCTACACTGCCGGTCGCGGCAGCTTCTTTTTGTCTTACAGTATCCAAACTTTGAATGTTTGCTAAGCTTGGTCCTATCTTGACACTACGATAACAACATCAATTGTGGAAGGGTTCTTGTTCTCGTTGTATTGTCCTTTCAATAGGGATTGCATAGACTCTCGTATATATATATATATGGCAAACGATGTGGTAGTGTTTTGTAAGTCGATAAGTGTTAGATAATCATAGACAATCAAAGGATGGCGCCTATTGACGAAGAGAACATTGGTAATACTGACACGAAGTACAACCAATCTCCCCAAGCGAAATTACGCATAGAAAAGTTCCTGATATGATGAGAATATTATCTATATGTTCTTCTGAAAATCAGATGATCAGCTCACACGATTCATCTCTACTTGTAAATGTTTTGTGATTGCTCCACCATCGAGGTAAAGAGTACCGATTAGCGATATCAAAATCGAACCATGTCTGAGAAATAGATCCAATACCCTCATAGACGACGCGCTTGTGCTCTGCCATTACCACTATATATGCTTTGCGCCATACATATGCCATTTGAATGGTACTAGGTGATTTGTATCCAAAACTTCTTCCCCATTTTGTAAATGAAATAATCGATATCGTAGATGAGCGATACGTGGTCCTGATAAAGCTTGTTTACAAATGAGGTATCTCGATTGCTCTGATAAACAAGTCAAAATGATGAATGAACGAGTATTAAGTTCTTTTTTGGTAGGATGCTACTCAGAAACTCGTTTGAAAATAGGTATATCCATACCATGCCAAAACAAAAATGCTGGACAGCATACTGATGGAAGTATACACTCGGCATATACACTCGGAATCACAATGAATACTGTAGATTACATGAGTACTTGGGTCTACTGAGCTTCTATATTAATCAGCTCCACCAGTGGGTGTGCGGACTGATGAGACACTGCAAAAATGGAGTTGTGAATATCTCTTGATGTATCAAATCATTTATTTTAGGAATTGCTAAGATTGTTAATTAGATATAGAATAACCAGAACACGAATTCTAACATCAAACAATCGAAGAATAAATTTACTAAATTTACTAAAAATATCGAAGGTTGGGAAGTATTCAATCAGTCTGTATAGGTACCCGCTGGTTGTCCAATGCTCACTGGACAAAAGCCAGGGACACAATCCATTGTTCCAAAGTAATCCATGATAGCCAAAAGACATAGCTGTATATGATCCCGAGAAGAATATTATCTTTTTGAAGGGAAAATAGCTACAAGTCTGAAGAACACTAAAGAATTTATCTCAAAAGAGGGGTACGGCTAGACTACGACACCAAAGAAAAAGAAACAAAAGATCAACATTATCTTACCGAGAAGTAATAAAGTAGGATTCTAGCCATGTAGATAACTTAGGATATCATGCGATGATTGGCTAATTGCTGCGAAATCATAAAAGTTGGACTCTAAAGATATGGGAGTGGGAGTATGCCTGGATAGTCGAAAAGGATTTCTTTATTAAACGGGAATTAACCCGTTATTTTTTCTTCATGAAGATTTCATGCCCTGAAGAAGGATGGGAGAAGAGAATGATAATTAGATGATACATAACAGATATCGAGTAAGTAATATCATTCTGCCACGCTAAAATTTAGCCCCGCATACGTCATCACTCCTAGGAACTAGTAGTTCAATAACGCGGTATCGAGCCCGTATCTTAACCCTCCTGTTTCTATCATTTTGTGTTTCTGTAACATCAAGTCTTAAGTAGCAATCATACACACCCCTTTGATATCAATAAGCGTACAAGAAATACTGAGAATGTCTTGCGGAGTACATCACGAGTAGTTCAAAGACCTTCTACTCTGGTTTCCAAAAATCTGCTACTGTGAATTCAGCGAGCCAACTATTATCATTCCGCAGGTTACACTCTGGCTTCGACGAATCTAGAACAATAGCAAAGCACTACTTCTAAGAATATCCACTAACAAACTTTCTCCATCTCCTCATATCTGATGAATCATCCTTAGGTAAAATAACAGCCTCCCCTTTTTTGCCCTTTGATCTCATCCCAAGCTGTATTCAAACGAGATTCCCCTTCACGGCAAGTTTCCCAGCATATCTCATCATAACCAACCCGTTTATACTAGTTACCATCTATCCGAGCTTTAGATCTCTCAACAGTATATATATCTCATATGCTCTTCTCGGTCTCTAGTTTCATTCTAGACATCCGATATCCAATCGCCAACTTGATTCGATAGAGATTTTTCAACTCGAAATGTTTCTCAAATCTTAAATTCACTCATTAACTTTTGATATGATTTATTATAAAAGGAATATAGTTGAAAAGACAAGAATATTTATGTTGAAAGTGATTTTTAATAAAGATCTGAATGGAAATTGATAATAAACTATTCAACTTATATAAAAAAGAGAAAAATAAAAATAAAAATAATGATTAGAATGATTAGAATGATTAAAAGAATCAAAAGAATCAAAAGAATTAGATAGTAAATATAAAATTCAAAAAATTATTTTGGTTTGAAAAATTCATATGAAGTGCTATAATGAAGACCCTAACACTGATTCATCACCAATACAAGAAAAACCACTTCTATAATCTACTCAATTAGCTTATTGATATCAAAAATAGTTAAACTCATTTTACAAGTATAATAATACGATGAAGCAACAAGTATAACTTTCTTCATACACAGAAAACGTCATCTTACAAAGAAGAAATTCTGTAGTATACTTAGAAAAGGGAATGTAAGAATGTGGAAAGACCATGCACGTGAGATTCTCTGTATTCGAGATACCAATCATCGAGAATAAGATTATTGCGAGTTGACTTGTGTAATGAGATGACACTCGATATAGCGCAGAGAGAGTATGAGTGGAAAAGCAAGGGTAGAAGATAGGGTTTGGGGGTTGAGATTACGATGATTTGTATCTTGTGTAAATGGATAGCAATTATCTTTTCTTGAAGATGAGATGTGATAGGATAAAGTAGGATAGAGAATTGGAGATATTTGCAAGTGCTGGAAAGAATTTTATATCATTCGTAGTGAAGATTGATATCTTTTATTTACTCGAAAAAGAAGTCTTTTGGCACTTGCTATCAGATCTAATGATATTGTAGGATTTGTAAAGGGGGTTATCGTTTATGATTAAAGAAGGCAAGATAAGATACTCAAGGAATTTTGGCGAGCTTTTCTGAGGGGGGGGGGGACAGGGCATGCTGGAAGTCGTTTGAGAGAATGATAGAGATGCTTGCGAGTGTGTATTATGAGCATACGAAGACTACAAGCATCGCTTTTATATTTTACGTGTTACAAAATTTGTACACTCGAGGAAGAAAGTAAGAATCTTCGATAACTGTATCAAAAATTGAAATTCATTGCTTAATTCGACGTTCTAAATTTATATCCTCCCATCACTCCTCCTAATCTCCGTTCCCCTCCTCCTCTCCCTCTTCTCCCCTCTCTTCTCCTCTTTCCCCCTATCTCCACCCTTGTCCCCCGTAGCACCCGCCGCACAATCACCCCCCTCCACCCCCTCCAACCCAAACGTAACCATAAAACTCGACCCCCTACTCACTGCCCCCAAACACACTCGATCCCTCGCCACACTAAATCCCAACTCCCCAAAGCCTCCCGCCGGCCCCAACATCTCCTTCATCTCATTCAATGCCGACGCATCAATAATCAACTTCCAATCCAATTTTCGCTCCTGAGTGCCCTTTTCCGAACTCAGACTTTCGCTTCGTTGGCGGGATAGCTCGATGATTTGTTCTTTCTTTTGGTCGTGGTTTTCATCGGGTGATGTCGATACGTCACTACCATTTAGTAATTGCGCATTCGACGATTGAGAAAACTCAAAATCATGACTCCAATCGATCATAAACATGAACTTATAAATCTCCCCCGTCCTTCTCCCCACGCTTCTCAACATTCCTCGAAAATCAGAATCTCGTCGTAGCTCCCCCCAAAACGGAATTACCGTATCCATCACCCATAGAGATACTTGCGAAAGAAACCAAGAAAATATCACTTCCAGCACGAGAAGTTTTGCAAAGCGGTAAATGGGAGATTCGTCACCCATGCTAAAGGCCCAGTAGTGGAGATTGTAGATCGTAGAACGCCATTCGAGATAAGTGTGTATGGTTTCGGGGGTGGAGAGGAGAGATACGAAAGTATTTAGGAGAGATATTAGGAGGGTATTGAGGAGAGAATGAAGGAGCCAGAAGAGTGTGACGAGGAGGTAGGATTCGCTGGGAGAAGGTGCTTGGATTTCTGATGTGGGATTTTCGCAATGTGAGGAGCGTGAGGGTCGGAGGGGTTTTTCATTTCGATGTCGAGCCCGATTTTGAGGTTGATGTTGATGTAACACTTTAAAAAGGAAATATTGAATCCCAATCATCCAAAACCAGGCAAATAAATTTTCAATTAGAAAACTCGTAAAGGCGAGATTGAGAGGTATAGATGAGATAACTTCGCCTTGGTGTTCGAGATCAAGACCCTGTAGTTCTCTGAGTGAAGAGTCGTCCATCTTGGATAGAATATCTAGGTGATTGGTGGACGTGAGATGAGATGGATTCAAATACATAAGTATGTCTATGAGTATGTGAGATTCCAATGCTCCAAGAAGAGGAAGTTGAACGCTCAAAGATTAATAAGTAAATAAATAAACTAAATAGTTGAATCCAATGTCTATAAAGAAAAAGATAAAAATTAAAAAATAAAAAGACAAACCTCATGATATTTCTATAAAACAAAAATACCTTCGACGTTACATTCCCTGCCATCTACCAATATAAAAATCAAACCCTTACCCACATCTACACCTACCGCTACATATAAATACATCCAAGCCAAGCCTCAATTAAACTCAACACATCCCCTTCCCCTTAACACCAAACCGCGCAGCACAGCACAGCGTCAACGCACCGTTCAACGACCCCTCCAAAGCCATTGATAAATGTCACCGGCAATCAAACAGGTCCAGCTCAGCCCTAACCCACAGCACACTAGTCCCAAAACAAACTTGCAATCCGTCAAATACGCTTTACGAATACCCCCATTCTAATACGACGTATCGAATACGCCTGCATTGCGGCACTCCTTAGACCTCTCCATAATTCTTTACGAACGCACCAATAGATCTGCAGACAATACGAAAATGCGCACTAGACTTATGCACGTGGTTTGTGCTTCAGGGGTTCGATCGACAAGTGCGAGGTATGCGAGATGTGCTATGCGAGTTGCGAAATGGGACCTGGATGCTGTGGGTGAGCGAAAACGAGAGCGAGAACGAGAAACGAGGAAAGAAAATTGAAGATTGAGATGGAAGTGTATCTGTCTATTTATCTTTTTACTTGGGTATTTGAGGATTCATTCTTTTGGTATTTTGTTACTCCAGAGTCCGTTCGCTACGAGAAGTGCTTAATTCACGATATCGCAATATTAAATAAGCTTTATACATAGGTAACCTTAATAGGAAATCGAGGGATAAACCATCTATTTATCCGTAAATATAATTTTACTTCACCCAAAATAGTATCGAACACCTCCTCCACCAAAAAGATATCGCAAACAAAATGCCTCATCCAATATTTCTGATTCATTAATCTTCTTCCATTTCGGCGTTCATTGCAGATGTAAATCTTAATCACATCACATCACATCACGCGTCAAATCTTCTGCATAACGAGGCTGAGACCGTTGACTTGATATAACCTGTCATACCTATTTTACTTATCATACCTCTCACCCAGTCATTCAACCTCATGCATTTGAGAACTGGTGAGCCGGACTTCGATAATAAAAGACTTGGGAATAAATTTCCCATTCAAATGTCGCATGTAAGATTACATACACCACCATCAATGGAACCCACAACCCATAAGTCTTTCGAGAATCATGGACAGGAGAAAAGTACACCCAAACCTTCGCTTACTTAAAAGCAGAGTTTCTCATTCAAGGGCGCAATTTTATGGTATGATCAGACTGATCTAGAAAAATAGAGGTAAGAATACTAGATAATCAATCGGAACTTCGTTCATATATTTTTACTCGTTCCAAAAAGTTTCAGACAATAGAAATGGCGAGGTATACTGTGATCTAACTATTCGTAGTTTTCTTAAGCATCCAGCTCGAAACGTAGCATCGAGGTATATACAAGCTTGCTTAGATCCCCCTCGTCTCCCCCATCCATTTTGACTATACCTCCAATTCAATCCCTATTCCTCACGCATGACTAACATCCGGTAACGGCTTCTCCTTGATATCCTTAATCAACGATCTCGAATTCGCATTATTCTCAAAACTCAACTCAATCAAATCTCGCACCTCATCTTTCGAAAAGTACAAGCTAAGATGACTTTCAAACCAAAGATACCTTATATCCTTCAAATTACTCTGTAGAACTTCACTCAGGAATTGCATTTTTAGCCAATCCCCTGCATAAGTTCCAATTTCATTTTCTTTGAATAGAGATTCTAGAGCATCAACTTGTTGAATCAGCGCTGCTATTCTTTCAGCGTCATCCACTCCCAAATCTGTGAGTTCAAAAATATCGCTGATAATTTTAGTGGCTACCGTGTTGACCAATGTACCAACGGCCGATGCCCAAGTTGAAGATGGAAGTATTTCTTTCCAAGAGGCAGATTGTTGTTTGATATGACCGATAACAGCACGAATTGCGTTCTCGCTGTCATTATATACAAAATTTTGAGAACCTAAGTAATGTTAACAATTGCATAAACTAATATCTATTATACGTACCACCAAGTAAATCGTGTAAGATTGTCCTCTGTGTATCCATTTCGTTTTTATAAGCTCTCTTTCCAAAGCTTTCAAGAGGTCCAATCTCTGAATCAATATTCACAAGATTCAAAGCACGGGGGGGTATGTCTTTTCGTAGATGCCATTCTTTCGAGAAACTTTTCAATTTATCAACCAACCATGTAGCATCGTTGTAAGCAAACCTAGATAACACCAGTGAGAATGCAATATGGAGAGCGCAATGCCAAATTCAGGACTTACATATTTCCCTTTGGATCATCGACATAGTAACATGGAGATACCGCACGATACATTGCTAAAATCAAGGTAGGAATCTTGGACAAAGCACCAGCTGCAGGTGATACAGGAAGAAATTCGCGTCTGTGAAATGTTGATGAGTGATTAGCAGGAATTTGACTTGGCTTAAAGGTGACATGTACGTACTCTGGCTGCATCAATTTGGCGCCATCTTCATAGATACTGACAACGTGGCCAAATACTTCCGAAGGAATAGAAGATGTCCAATACTTCTCTGAGAGAGTGAGATTTCGCTTCTCTGTTGGATCATTGAATGTGGTAGGACTAGTAGGAAGATGAGGAGTCTTTAGGGTCCTCTGTGTGTCAGGGAGGTCATCGGTAGGTGTTTCGACGGCAACTTCATTATCATCACCCCAGCCCCATGCATCATCTTCATCTACTTGAAGAATATTTGGATCAGGAGCAATGGACACTGAGCTTGCTCTTCGTTCCTCGTCAAAAGAAGCTCGGCTTCTCGTGGTAGGTTGAGTTTCTTCCTCTTCGTCCTCTTCACCCCAGCCCCACTCATCTCTCACAGTCTCACCATTTGAAGTGACATGCATACCGTCATCCCTGGTCACCATACGCATTTCCACTCGTTTAGCTTCAAGAGGCTGGCCAACGCCTAGCATTAGAAGTCATTAGTATCAATACATAGAGGATAAGTGTTTTAAATGAGGAGATGAAGAGGTGAGGTGAACATACCAAGGGCTAAAGCATTACGAACTCGGTCCAGAGATGTTTCTCGCTTCTTAGTCAACCAAATTCTAGCGGCACTAGAAACCCACTCATCGAATCTCTCTGCTCCTGGCCATCCTAGTGCTCTCAAATTATCGGCAAATTCACTTGTACGACCTAACGCCTTTTGGTAATCGTCCATATCGTCTAGGGATGTTGGTACAGATGACTCTAGCCATGTTCCGATTATTATTTCAGTTAGATCAGGCATCATAGCCCTAGATAAGGCTTCGACCATTGTCTTGGGCAAGTTCTCGTCCAAAAAGCGAATGATGTCTAAGATGTCCTTGAACAAAGATTTTATGCTAGTATCTGAATGATCTTCAGTAATACGCAAAGTGTTATTTTCAATACATATTTGGAAAACAGTAGGTGATGATTCCAGGCCAGTACGAGGTCGTATAATTGTTTCAGACAATTGCTCCCAAAGATCTTTGCCAAACTTGTCAAGCTCTTGAAACCTCTCCAACCCAATTGCAACATCATCTAAAGATGTTAAAATACCGTCGAATTTCTTGTGGATCGTAATAGAAGCTTCTTTGGGTTGAATGTTTATCAACGATTTCCGGATCTCACTGAGCTGATCATTTAAAGAATTCTTCAACTCATAATATCGTGTATCCAGGAGCCGGACCGCTCTTACAGTGGTTTCCGCTGGTATTTCCGCAATTTGATGACCTGCAACATCGAGAGATTTTAAAGCTTCATGAATTTCTTGTCTGTCCGACTGTTCCACAGCTTTGTCCAGGGAATCATTCGCACGCTTTATGGATTGTGCACATTCCAGTAACTGTGCATTAAACTCAATCTCCTTCACCAAAAGTTCAACATGATTTTCATGATTGTGTACATCGGTAACTCGAGATTCGTCTGCTTCTGCTTGTTGAACGACTTCATTCGCCAACTTTCTTGACTTGTCGATATCGTCCTGGAGGGCTTGGGCATGTTGTATCCATTTATCGATATCGGCAGCGGAATCTCTACTGATTTGACGAACTTCAGTCTGCATGATGCATAGTCAGTAAACAGAATAGTGGTTTGGTAGTGAGAAGGAAGCAGGGAAGTTTTGGACACACCTCGAGAGATAATTTGGCCTCACCTAAAGCTTCTATAGCTAGTGGAAAAGCTTCATTCCCGACCGCAGATGCAGATACTTCCTCATCAGGAAAATCTCCATTTGATGCAAAACCAATGAGAGTTTTACTAAGTTGATCAACTGCCACTGTCGATGCCATGTTGTCAAAATCTTTGGAGATTAAATTTCAATCGCTGCCAATCTTGACGTGTCGGATACTTCAACCAGCACAGAGCCGTTATTCGTAAAGTTTTTTTAAGGCGACAAAGACTTAAGGGTATGAAACTTATGTAGGTACCTAGAATTTATCTGAACATCACTACCATTTTTCTTAGAACATGGTCAATGAGATTATGACAGGGTGGAACCAGAAGCTATGGCATAATCATCTGATGACTAAGAATTATGCTATTAAGCGCGCAGTTAAGCTGATGCGGTAAGGGTAGGTTATCACCCAATGATAATTATCTAGGGCGTCTATTCATTCCTTCGTTGTAAGGCTATTAACTTTATATTTTTATATTGTTCATCGTTCAACCTATTCATCTACCTTCCTTTCTCACCAATATCTCGGCCTTTCTCTATTTTGCGAAGAAACTCATAAGTTCTAACGACATACTTAAATAAGAGGCGATACATTCATTATTTGCCTCTCT